CTTCAAATAAAAAATAATAATTTCTGCACTTGTCAGTGTAAGTGAGGAGGGGGCAAATACATCCTCTGAACAAAGATCCATCGCATTAATAAACCATCTTAATTGGTCCCAAAGGAACTAAAATAAACAAACACTCAAGGCCTTACACCTTTGAGAACCACAACAAACTCAGAACTTCAGAGAGCTTTGACACAGTACATGAAGTCCAGATGTGATTTGTGGAATAAATAACCTGTGACAACACAATATTGTATTACAGTTCACAAAGCACCAACCGCATGTAGAAATACTGCACTGCGGATGATACAAGATCCCTGCATCAAAGCAAAGGGATTATTTACCTGTATTTGAGGTCATAGACATAGCTGCTCCCCAGCCTCTCCTCAATGGCCTTCTTGGTCTCGTCTAGAAGACTCTTCACAGCTGAATCTCCCACAGCCAGTGCTACGATTCTTCCTTGAGGCAGGGCCCTGAGCAGCTGAGTGAGCCGCCGACTGTCATTACGAGAATCATGAGTGTCGTAGCGTTCAACCAGTAGTACAGCAGAGGTGTCCTGGTCCACCACACGCAGATTAATACCCCGGCTAAAGTTTTTTTGAAAAGCATAACCTCCAGTGGGTAAACCAGAAGCTGGGATGGTGCGTGTTAGCAGAGACCAGGAGATGCTTTCAATGCCATGCAGCTCCAGCTTTGCACCACTCATGACCCCAATGAACTTGCGGCCAAAGACAGGGACATCGGAGAGAGCTTGGCTGTCTGAACGTCCCATGAGTGCGATAGATGCATGGGAACGATAGCGACATTTAGGACCGCCAATGTGCAGGGCTCCACCGTCTTCTATGAGAATGAATCCAGTTCTAAGGGTTATGTTTTTGGTTCCATCGGGGCTGTCTGCAAAAACTACTCGGCCTGCAACAGATATGAAATGAGTTACTACTAGTAAAAGTTAATATACAGAAAGCAATGGCAATAAAAAGACAGTACTTTATAACCTCTTTGTAATCAAATTCATTTTAAATGTTATTGAGAAAGAGCAACTTCACACATAGCTTTATTGATGATGACATTCTCTGTTTAACTAATTGGAGTGATGTCAGTGCAACTCTTAGGACGGACATTGCAACAACAACAAAAAACAGTGTAACACTGATTGTTAGAAAGTGAAGTAATTTTCCTACCTCCCGATTGGATTGTTAGAGATAGAAACGTAGCAGAGGTTTCCAGTCTAAATAAATGTCCCTTTCTGATGACAATGGACTTGTCTGCTTGATGGCCTGGATTCCAACTGCTCAGAGAAGGATTATGATCTGGACAATTTTCTGTTAAGGAAAGTACAAAGTTAGAAATGATTTTGTCTCACAGAGCAAAAGAAATGTGTAAAAGCAGAATGTAAAAGCAAAAGGTTGTTATTTTTGACAAAATGGAAAATGCACAAATTTCACTAAAAACAAATGTTGCTTACATGTATTCTTCAATCCCCATATAAATTAGAACACCAAAGAAATTGATATATAAATATAAATTAAAAATATATATACATTAATATATAAATTATAAATAGCAGTTTGTGTTCCAATTTTTTTTTCACCATATGTGACATATAAGGCCACAAACCCTTCATATGCACAGGTTATATAAAGTCTGAGGAAGTACTTGTGGTCTGAAACATCATGCCATGTGGTGAAAATAAATAACTGACTAACACTTCTTTTGTGTTCTAGCTTTAATTCATGAATTGTACAGTATATGTACATATGCACAGTATATGGATGTGGTGACTGAAACTTTTACTTATTGACTGACTGATTGGATGCATGACTGCATTAATATACAATGTATTTTATTGGTATGTACACCATTTATGACATCCACCTGCCCAGCGACTGAATGAAGGTGGAAATGAGCACTTTTGCTGTAACCTGGCACAAACATATTAACTCTGTTTAGGTCAACGTTTTTATGCACATTGTCCCTGATAAATAAATAAACTAAATTGAAACTCGGGTCCCAGCATGCAGGTCAAGAGTCTTTTGGACTTTTTAACATTGCTTTAACCTACATATGTCACCGAAGTAGAAAATTTGGAATCTTGGCTTATATTTTCACATTTTGCACAACGTCTGGGCCCCTTCAGGAGTTTTTCATAATTTCTCCTCATTAAAATGTATTGTAATGTATTAACTGTATTGTAGTTCTGGTGATTTATTTCAATACTCACCATCAAGAACATCATGCTTTGAGAGACTAAAGATAAGAATAAGAGATAGGATGAAAGTACACATGGAGGCACCAAAACAGATGAGCGTGTTCTTTCTTCTCTGTAGACTCTGGGCACGCTCTACACGATTTTTTTCCTCAGTCTGGCTGTATGGAGCTGGTCTCTGTGGAGGTGGGCCATGAGGTTTTATCGGGGGAGGTGGGGGAGCCTTGGCTGGTGGTGGTGATCGTACTGGTGCCACCCGTCCGGGCACGTAACCAGGAGATCTCGGGTGGTTGCCAGGGGGCGGGGCCACAAAAACTGGGTATCTGCCTTGGCCATCGCTCGTCGGCATTGTCTATGTGTCTGCCACCTATAACACAAATAGCTTTTTCATTTACTTGCTCTAAGTTTGAAAGAAAGTTTAACCCATGAAGAAGACCCTGAAGGAGCCTGTTAAAGAGAGTGACACAGTGGGAGGCGAAAGAGGCTGACTCTGGGGAAACGCAAAAACACTCTTGAAGTATCTTATGTCTGTACCTCCAGCTAACAATCCTGTGACTTGTTAAACACACTATTAATCTACTTCCTGCAAAAAGAGCCACTTATCCTCGGGCTGTTTTCAATAGGATACAGTGACACTGACGGCTGACTAGTAACCATGCTGCAAGTACTCTTGGTACTTCTAACTATGTAAACAGAGCTAAAACAGGTGGCATCCATTACAGCAGGGACGTAACAGAAGAGTGCCAAGGTTCGATATTTTCACCATAGAGGAATGTACAACAGACAACTCCAGCAGTGGACACATGCAGAGGTCATGTTAGGGAACACCTGCACATGGGGCAGAAGGAAATGACACAGCAGAAAAAGGGCTTTGAAAGCACTTTTAAATCAGAACAGCATGTGGCACATTACAGTCTAGTGTTTTCAGAGTAAAATAGATAGAAAAACAGCACCACTTAAGAATAATGAAGAATTGTGGTTAGGTTTTGTCTTCATATGTTTTTTGTGTGTGTTTGTTTGCACATACAATCACATTCTTGGTCTCAAACAATGCCATCTTACAAATGACCGTTGTCTTGTCAAGGGAATAGGTCACATTACTTCAGACTAGAGCACAAAGCATTTGACGCAATAATGACTGTGTAACAAAGACTCACTTATACAGCCATGAGGTCCACATTGTAAATGTTTTATTAATGTAATGTAAAAAATGTTCTCATCCAAAGGTTTATTTTGACACATCTGACCTGTTTTTCTTTCCTGTCCTAATCCTACCACTGGCTTGGTTTTATTCACATTCTTGGCCATAAAAGGGGCTCCTACTCCTCTGCTACTGGCTGTCATGTGAAGGCTGAAAGTGCAATGCACCTACACACCTAAGGGGCTATTCAACATCTGGAAATGACCATAATCACTGGGCTGCTCTGGACCCCGTAGGCAAGCATGGCAACTTTCCTAAATATTGAGCTACTGAATATCAAACAGATGTGGGGAGACCAAAAAGTCTGACTTTCTTCAACTATAAAACCATCCCTTTAATTGATGTTGGCACAGTAAACATCATGTACAAGTCGATCAGTTCAAGTGGGCCAGGCAGGGTACATGGCAATGCATTACAGAGCAAATACTATTTATACACCACTTCTCTAATAAACCAACATGTTTATTTACAGCTGTACATACAGAGAAGCCAGCTGCATTGCCCAAGATTGACCAAGATCTGTGATAAATTAATCATCATTTACACGGTGCAAGTTCAGCGGTATGACTAAATAATTCTGATAACTACTCTACAAGTCAATTCTAATAAAAGTAATACTATATTGGAGAGAGTTAGAGTAGTATTAATAAAGAAATAACCAACTTTCTTGTTTAAAAAGACTGATCAATGTCAAAATGGCACAACCAGGCATATTTCCCCATCCCCAGAAATGTAAATGAATAAATCTTGCAAATCTTTCAACAGTAGCATTAATGTACCTTCCCTTGATTTAACTGTGAAATTCAAACTTTACTTGTAACACATTTTGAGTTAGCGGAATAGCAATCACACTCACACAACGCGCCCAACACAACCCGGGGACGTACCGCTGGTCACACAGTACTGCTCCTCTTCCTAGTATTTCCATCCACTTTCCGTCAATCCCCGCCGGCCCCCGCGGTTACGGTGAAACAAACTAAGTGTTCCCCTTTACTAAACCTCTCAGGATCTTCCGTGTTCAGTTTTCGTTCTTCACATGATGTTTTTTGCCTTTGCGCTGTCGTACAGTTAGCCCCACATCTCACGGCGAGGAGGAACAAGGGGCGAGGCTTCAGAGCGGACCAAGGAAACAGGCGTTCAATGTTTTCACGAGAAATTGGTTCAAACATGTAAAGACGACAATAAAAGGTTGTATTTCCCTCGTGTTTGAGGTACGAGTCCTGAAAATGATCTGTATTAGTTTGCTTATTTGTATGTAATTTTATTTTATTGCTAGCCTTTTTTCAGTGGTATAAGTAGTAATAAAATGTGATTGTAATAGTTGAATATTTAATTTTGGAGGTGACGTGAATGCACCATTAGTAGCATGGATAGAAAGGCGGGGATAAACTAAAGACTTGACTACACTGCACTCTGCTGGTAAGTAAGGAATCAACACAATCCCGTTACTCTCAATCATACAATTAAATACATTGAGTAGCATTCCATATTATGACAAAATCATAATTTCAGGCAAATAATCAACTTAAGTTTGAAGAAACAACAGAAAACAAAGAAGCAGCAACCACCCTACCACATCATACATGTACGACTACAGATGTTTTGACATTTTATTTTATTTTATTCATGTTAAAAGTACCAACAGGTTAGTAAATATTGTTATGACATAGATGTTTTATTTCATTTAAATAGCTATACATAAAATTCAATCAAGGATGACACACGTGAAAAGCCTAAATATTGGCTTGCCCTGATCTACAAGTAGTCAATTGAAAAATAATAATAAAGTTGTACAGCAAACACACATATTAGAAAAAAAAAACAAATATAGAGACAGAATTGAGACATGATGTTTCATTTGTAAGCTGTAAGAAATCAGACCTGAAGGTGTATTATAGCACCAATCGACTACAGTGATTTGTATTATTAACATTATTTAACCTGTAAACAACTCCAGGTTCAAGTATGATGAGGTCTCCAAGATGCTTACTGTAGACATGAATTTCTTCAAACATTATAAGCTACAAGGAAATCAAACTCAGCCAGCACACTGTCAACATGCAAAAGCGCACATTAGCTAGTCAGTGGCATATGACTTGCTAATAGATTTGTCAACAATAAATGCAGCTGGCTAATACCTCGATCAGCAGGGACAGCTTCGACTTTGACAACAGTCAAAAATAACACACACAAAACATGGAGATAACACATAACATGTCTTTGATTGAGGCGTTGTTGTGGCACTTATCTGTGGACTAATTATCTTTGCGCACACACAGCACATTTTATAATAATGAAAATTTTAGCTCAAAATATTTACTAAATTATTTTGAACTTCAGTCCAAAATGGCAATTACAGCAGTTGTATGAGTATGTAGTTTCTGTCACAGTAGTATATATCCATGGTTACATGTAATGCACAGGTCTGATTATCTTATCAGGCTCAGGGCTTTATCTCTGGTACTTTATCAAGGCAATACGTTCAAAGTGAGGTAACCCAGCTATTCATAATTCTCTATCCAGCAACAGTTTTTCTTTAATGAGCATTTTACCATAGATACTAATCTTAAGACACCCATTTTGATGGTCAAATGTACTCATGCTGGTCAATATTAAATTATAGCTCAGCCTATGAGCTGAAGACCATTTGCATTATACTTGTTGAAACAAGATATATGTCATAAATCACTTGCATGTAACAAATGCAAACATTTGGCATCACTGGCATAGTAAATAATATTTTTGTCTTAACAGCTGGTATGTGCAAATAAGAGTCATAAAAGCTTTCATGAATAATAATTGTGAAAATAAAGTACAGTGTGCATGGCTAAAACTGACAGAAACTGTTTGTCTAGTTCACATTTGCGAAAACACCAAGGCCCATTTTATAACTTCACACTCTGTTTCAAGACCTTGACCAGATCTTTTAAAAGGCAGAAATGTACTCACTCCTTTCAAAAACAACTACAAGATTTTAAGGTTAGCTTTATCATTCTTCACCAATTTACTCACACTCACACGTTAATGTGCAATTAAAATATGAAACTACCTTTGTGTGAGTTTCATAGCTTACAACTGCCGGAGATGGAATGGACAATATATTGAGGTGAATCAGAGCTTAAAAAGAGGTCCTTGATATGAATGCTTACTACCAAAAACTCAAAACTACTTTGACAAACTGTCAAACAATATTAATTGTGTTAAAGTCCTTCAAGTTCTTCAAAAAGCCACTGTTTTTCCTTTCTCTACTTTAGTCGAGAAATTTACAAGTTGACAAGTTCATGTGAAACAAACTGTTTAAGTCTCTCCAGATACTGTCCATAGAGCTCCACGTCATTGTGCCCTGCCCCCTCCACCCACAGGGGCTCCACTGGATGCTGACAACGCTCGTACAGGGCCAGCCCATGGGAGAAGTCTATGACCTCATCCTCTGTGCCATGGATCACCAGGACCGGTGATGTGACCTTTGAAATCTTATCAATGCTTTAGAGAGAGAAAGAGAAGTAGTCAGTCAAATGCATTGTCAAGAGGTGCTTTGCATGATACAGGGAGGAAAGGCTATTCTGACCATCAGAGGGAGCTAGTGAGTTGCATCAGTAAAAAAAGAAGGTCCAGCTGCAGCCCCTGTATGGATTGGAGGTGTGGCACCATTGGCTGAAAAGTGAAGCTCCACACATCACACTTGTGTCCAGTGACAAAAAAATATGTTTTTTCCTTCAAGTTAATAATTTAGGATACCTAAGTTGTTAAAGGTTAAAGTTTGATAATTAAGTATTAAATCAAAATGTATTCGGAGCGAGTGGAGCTTCACTAGGCATGGCACTGCTGCTGGACAAGTAGTATTTTTCCACAGCACTAAAAATGTAACTTTGCTGATATTTTAGAGATAATAACAATTACATATGTGTAGATGAGTGTAGGGTCGTGCCATGATCAGTGTATATCACTTTTAGAATGGCTTTCACACGTGCTATCTGCATGTTGTGTTCACTCACTTGGGAAAGGCGTCAAAACAGTACGTCTTCTTAGTGTCAGGGAAGGCCACTCTCATTCCTGAGGTCAGCGGGGAGTGGAGGATGACCGCAGCACTTTCATAGCGAGAGGCGAGGTCAACTGACGGTACAGTGCCTATGCTCTGGCCATACACAATCACGTTCTCAGGCCGAACGCCATACCTGTAACACACACACAAAAGATCATTTACATTTTGACACAAATAAACCATAGATTCCATTATATCCTGTCGAAAATGTAATTGGCATTTACACAGTATAATAGTAATAACAGATAATTTATTGTCCTCCTAAGGGAATTGGTTTGATGTGAGTAAAAATATTTGGCAATAAAGGCAGGACTATTTCCACATCAAAACAACAGACAAACAGGCTTGGCTGGAAACCGCAAGTAAAACCTCAGCATCATCATAATAAGATTTCATAACAAGTTGGAATAATTCATATTTATTAGTTATTAGATTTTTTGTGTTCAGACCAGCTGAAGCAGAGGTCTTAAGTATGTTTAAGATTTCATCAGAAACAGTACAAACAGTGAACAGTACAACACTAGAAAGCCCAACTTTCAGTTTCAGGCTGGATAGATTGATCACAGACACTCTTAAAAGCTGGATAAAATGCAATATCAACCCCAAAGCCTAGAGTGTAATGGTGCTATTCAAAGCAATATGAAAAATAGTGGTCCGGAGTCCCATGACAACAGAGGGAAGTAAAAGTAGAACATTGTGATAGTAGCACCAGTTTGAGATTAAATTAAAGAAATTTGCTAAAGAAAAAAAGGGAAGAGATGACATTCCGTAGCTGATTACAGAGAATGTGACCCACTCCGTAGAGCCATCAGCTGACTCCCAGAAACTAAGTCAAGTAACACTGCATGGCTGTGTGTAGCACTGTGCAGTAAGAGAACAGAGCCACAGCCTGTCTTTTACACATATTTAAGCCCTGCTATTAAAGGATCTGTGACTAAAGCACAAAATAAACATGATTACAGACCACCACCGTTGCACAGTAACTGCAGTAACTACACCAAGCAGGTACTACCACATTTACTGACTCAACTTCACTAAAGAGTTCTTATTTCTAGTCAGCTGACATTTACAAAGTATAAATAGGGGTGACAACAATACTGGTGAGGCATGAGGAAGTGCTTATGTATTGCCTTGTTCCATTATAGTAGGCTATAATCGAAGTAGATACCCGTTTTAAAACACTTAATGTTATCGGTAAAAATCTTATCAGTATTTTTAGTCTCACCAATCTGGTCTTTCTACTTCCTGTCAGGCCATTAAAAGATAACCAATCGCTAGACAGGTATGCAACAGAATATGACAGCACAACAGTTTCTAGTAAGAGGCAAGCCTGTAATAACATTTAAGAGCTGAAGCTTATTTCATTGTTACAAATAAGATTTTGTACATTGTAAATTCTACAATCTATTAAGTAGGAATAAGCTTCATCTAATACAGCTGGACGATATTACAGTACTCCATATTGGTATAGTGTGACAAGAAAATCAAATAACTGCAAAGGTATCAGTGAACAAATAACTGGGATTTGCTAACAGCTAGACCACCAATCAAATCACATCTTACTTTGGGTTCGTCATCAGCACCTTTAGCATCGCACTCACTTGGGAGGTAAAGATGAAGACACACGCACATGCACGCGCGCACACACGCGCGCACACACACACACACACACACACATACACAATGACAGGCTCTGACCAACCCCCCCACACAAACTACAATTACTAGGCTACAGTTTCCTCCACTGCATTTGAGCCTGAACAGGCCCACCAAGCCATGGCCCAGAGATGCTCCATGGTTACAACCCTCCCCCAAACATTCATCAATTTAGCCTCCTGACACAAATCCAATGTATTATGCATCACATCCTCCTTCCCTCCCTTGTTCCGGCTCACACTGCTGCCTCTTCATTGCCCACCTATAGTTCTAGACCAAAATATTTCCAATCCCAAGATATTACAGGGAATAGTGGACATATTTCTCTGGCATTTTAACAGAGTTCAGCTGTTTCCGAGCTTGTGGTAAGTTTATTTAACCAAAGAGGAATTTAGCCATCTTTCAAAATACTGAATGGCATTCAGATTTGGATCAATATGTTTGATCAGGAAGTAATCTCTCTTATGTTTGTTCTGATAACAGAGGGAAAACTTTGATCAAAAGTTTATAGGAAATCAGTTGCTAGGCTACAATTCAAAATATAGGGCATCCAGCTTTGGCTGTTGGCCAGACTTATAGTTAAGCTTAAAGTTATGGGGCGGTGACCACAGCAGAATAAAGAACCCAGATGACATGTTCCAAGACAGGCAAATAAATATTACTGTTTACACTACAGCATGTTATATTTACCATGACAGCTAACATTATGCCCAAGCTTTTATGACGGTGTTGTCAAGCCCTTTGACTCATGACAAGTGAATCACCTGCATGCAGCACTCCCTGCCTATACAGGTAAAGGGAGTGCCTCGTACGGATTTGCTCAGCTGTGACCGACTGATGCTAAACAAGAAAAAATAAAAAGCAAAGGTGTCACATGTTATGCAACAACACTTGCGGCAATAAATTATCACTACTGTCGGACTTTGGCAAGTAAAAAAAAAGTCGTAGATAACTTCATATCTTATTAGGTTTCAGGTATTTGTAATAATTTAAGTAAATGCCTTTAAAATTCACATAGCAAAGCAAACAACTCTAGGTCAATGACCAAACCCTACAGTCAGTTTAGTGTGATTATGTGTGATAATATCACAGAACAGCAAAGAAACAGCAACAGACCTGTTTTCTAACTGCTGAGTCTAACTATCACGTCTAATAGGCAACTCTGTGTCAAGAAGTATACTTTGTTGAAAGGCTGTAAATCATGAGACCTTATAGTACTAGAAGACACAGAGTATCTAAGCAAGTGGCTTTTCTTGAATATCAAGTCATTTCCCAGTAGCTTGAAGTGTTCCGTGTGATCCCGAAGAGCGTTCTTTATTAATAGGTCTTATGACAATGCCTGAAACGATGAAGCAAACCAGCCATTCATTGCTCTTGAACATCATTCGAGTCAGTGACAATGAGCTTTAGACTGAGCTTTTGTACGATGTTTAATGTCAGATAGTTTGCAGCAGATACATGTAAAACACTGGCCCAATTTGAATTCAACACGCACATTTTCTTATGTAACTAAACTGTAAAATTGGCAAATTAGATTGGTCCCAACACAGCTGGGAAAAAGTTTTGCCTTTTCAGGTCTCAATAATAATACTAGGACAAATTTGTTTCAAGTGCTCCTCTCAAGCACTTTAAATTTAACAAAGTATATCAAGAATAGTGGACACGTGACAATCAAGTTCTTCATAAAGGAAGTGGTGCCTTTCCCCTATTTGATCAAGAGTTCCTGTTTAACGTGCCAACTTCATTATTTTATCCATTTTCTATGTTACCATAATTTAAGGAAATTTTTGTTTTTGTTTTTATAGGAAGACTGCAGCCAAATGTGATTGTAGCAAGAAGGTTTATAGCCCTTGTATCCATATGTGACTATAACAAGAATTTATAGCCTGTGGCTTTGAAACATCAAAGATGCACAAATGTTCTACTGAAATATGTTAACATGAGATAAATGACTAAAATAATATGTAATATGTGAATTTTAGGCCCTTCTGAATAGCCTTATCTTAGCATCACACACCGGTTTCAGGCTGTAGAAAATATCCTAATCTACACCCATAATGTTTTACTTCATGTCAACAAACTGACAGTAAACCTTAAAACTGATGTTCTATGGAACTATGGTTTAATCTCTTAGAAGCAGCTCTAATGCGTTAGAAAATGATGTGAACTAGGAGCAGCATTTCATGTGATTACACAGCTGACAGCTTAATTTGTAGGTCATACAGCGCAAGACAATCATTCGTCCCATAAACCAGAAAAAGACCATAAATGTCTAATTTTACACAGTTTGATCACTGTATTTATTTCTGTTTTGTACTTCCAGAAGTGTGAAAATCTGGACAAAAGTGGACAAGTACAGTTATACTCACCGTGACCGTAGTGCCTGCCAGGCAGCATCTACATCAGCATATAGGTTTTTCTCAGAGGGTTTCCCAGAACTGGCTCCGTAACCCGAGTAGTCATAGGAAAAGACGTTGCAGTTGATGCGAGACCCCAAGCCAATGTAGAAGCTGCTCATCTGGCCCAAGTCCACAGCATTACCATGAGAAAACAGTAGTGTGTAACGTGCACTGGGTGAGCATCGCACAAACATACAGGCAATACGATTCCCCCTCGAGGTTCGGGTCATGAAGCACTCGATGGCGTCCTTTTCCCGGGCTGAGTACTGCCAGTCTGCGCTCGGAAAGGTGCAGTGTCCACCGACTGCCACTGTCATCACACATCAGGCTGTAGGTGGGCTCAGGGGGCAGGAAGGCCAACTTTGAGGCGATCTTGCTGGGACACGGTGGACAGCAAAAGAGGCAACAAAGCTCACTGATAGATAGGTGGTTCATCCTAAAGAACTGAGAAAGAAACAAATAATGAGAATGTGAGCACACAACTGGATCAGTCTATATTTCAAAGGAGCGTATTTGGTATAAAAATGAAAACATATCTTGTAATCAATTAAAATCCAGCACTATTCCATTTTAAATAGCCAAAAATAATCTCGTTTGTAACATTGTTTTCATAATTTGTCTTTTTTACCAGGAAATGGTGTCACCAGAGCATGAAAAAATAACAGTACTTTATGACTACATCCCAGATGTAATGAATACCATAACGAAGGTAAATTTTACGTAGCCTACATTGTTTTCAAATAATTAGAATAAAGAAGAGTGAACCACAGAATGCTGGTAGCAGGCTATTCAAGGGTTTCAGACAAACGATTCCTTTCTGATTTGAAGGACTTCGTGAGAACCTTGTGAGGTCTTTAACATTTAGAAGATAATATTTTCATTTTAATTGCTAGCTGCTATGACCACGGATGACGGGTGACATAGCTTAAAAACAACATGGGCTGTAGCTTCTGGAGGGGCAAACGTATATATTTGCTGACCAAGGATAACATTTAATTTGTCGGATAAAAGATATATGTACATCAAACAACATTTTGAATAGTGACATTGACTTTAGTCTCTAATGGGTAATTACCAGGATCGCCGTTGAACCTCCCGGTATGCCTTCCTTTTGATTTTCTTCGTGACAGTGTGGATGTCGCTTTAATGTGCAGTCGAGCTATCTTCGAACAACTAAACTTATCTTCTCCACCAAGCAAGGAGGTTGACAAGGTTATCCTCGACCAGATTATCCAGTGTTCCCTGTTGAATTTGTCCGTAAGAGTGACTTTATCCCCTCAATCCAGGCACTGCAGCGGTGTCGTTTAATATCCTCTTCCCCTGAACACACGGTCATGAATAATAACTAAAATCGATTTCTCCAACGCCTTAAGTAAATTACATTGAACGTAAAATTTTACGTAATTATAACAAAACGTCCTCCTTCATGTAAATGGTTCTGCCAGGATGCACTGTCGTTTTGGCACAAAACATCACCGCTTTCGCAGAACACACAAGCAGCTCGTTATCTTGACTCGGCTAAGGTGGGTCGAAACAGACTGATAGACAGTGTGGTGGACCAATGGGAATCTAGTTTTTGAGGCGCGTTCTCTTTGACTCCGCCCTTTGGTGGACGTTCTGAAAAAATAAGTTAAAAGAATTAATGGGTTAGTGTGCTTTTTCTACCAATTTAGTGGTTCATGTAGAGTAAACATTCAGTTTTGTAAATAGTAAATGTAAAATATTTACCTTTGACCTTCATGTTGACGTTTCAAAATCAGATGAAGTACTTCCGGGTTGCAGTATGCACGCATGATTCCAATACATGTGCCTATGATTGTAAGATCATAAGCTGGAATCATACGCTATGAGTTCTCAAAAAGGTAATGTTTCTCGTTCGCGTAGTCAAAAACATCAAAATGCAACTGCCTTCAAAAATGACAAGTATGGAGCTACAGTCCAAGTGAAGGTATTCAAGTCATTTTTCTTCTGAGCGATACATGCTAGCAGTAAAACAGTCACAGTCAACTTGTATCATCCACGATTTTATTTATTTATTTTTTATTTTTTTACAGAAAGCGAAATCAAAGGTTCACGACGGCCTTTGCCAGCACTGTAAAGATGTTCTTGAATGGAAGGTCAAATACAACAAATACAAAGTTCTAACACAGCCTCGCAAATGGTAGAGTCATACTAAAATTGTGTCTACTTAATTACTTCGTTAATTGACTGCATGAAAAAGCATAAACTTAAGGTTTTTTTTGTGTGTATACAGTGTTAAATGTTCTCAGAAGAATATAAAGGATGCTTATCACGTCATCTGCAAACCCTGCTCTCTTCAGCTAGAGATCTGCTGCAAATGTGGCAAGAAGGAAGAAATTGTTATTCCGTAAGTATAATCTGAGTTTGGACTTTAATGTAGGTTCCTAAAATGTCCTAGGGATTCCCTGGGTGTTCGTAATTAATGTTTCTATTTAATAATGATACCACTTTTTGTAACATTTTTACTAACCGTAAAACTATATTTTACCTTATAAGGTAGGTTTTAACAGTTAAATATAAACAACACGTGCGTACAGCGTAGCCTTTCATTTTCACTATACTGTCAAGACCTTGTGGCCATGTATTATAGCTCTCTAACTCTTATTGTTTGTTATATACAGAGTGAATTCCAATCTGGACAATAAAGAAGAGGAAGAAGAAGAAGGTAACTGTAAAAAGAAAAAGAGCCGACAACAGAAGAGAGATGAGCTGAACAGTGAGGAAGAAGATGATGACTTTGATTTTGGAGATGATGAATGCAGTGAGGAAGACTTTGATAGAGACTCAGATTTAAAGAAAATGAAGGACAAAACTTGCCTTCCAGATGTCTCTAAAATATATATAAAAGACGGAACTGACTGATAAATTGATTAAGATTTGGTTTGTTTAACCAATATTTGTTTGGTGAAACAACTGGGATACCATAGTTTATGTAATAATTATTGTTTGATATATGGATCCTAGGAGTTATGAAATGGATGGTGCATCATTCATGGGTAGTGTTCATGCCTCACAGCAAGAAGGTCATGGCCTGGTCATGAGTCTCAAGACTTCCTGTGCAGGGTTTTCATTTTTCACCCTATGTCTGAGTGGGTTTCCTTTAGGTTTCTCCCCATCAACCCAAAGACCTATACAATAGGTAAAATCCTATGTGACCAATCCTGACCGAACCTAGATTTACATCTGGGGGATGTATTCCCAGTGCTTCTGACAGGTTACCCCAGCTGCATCGAACAATGGGTCCAATGGAGGGGATAGTAACATATACCTTATTGCAGTTTTTTTCTTAACAATATTTAGTATCTTGTTTAATTTATCAGTCCTCTAGATGGCACTATAGTCAACTAGATGCCCTCATTCTGTTTGCCTGATCATTTATGGAATTTTTTTACATCACAAGTTATTTTACTTTTATGACACTGAAAATAGTATATGTAATGTATCAGCTATTATTATGTTTGTACACAATATTGTTTTGACATTAAAGGTGCATTGTGGGGGTTTTTTGGTGGAGATATTGCTTTGTCTGGACTGTTTCACAGTATTAATGGAGCTGTTAAGGACCAAAAAGGTGCCTAATTGTTCATTTTTATGGTACAAGCATGAAACTTTGCCAGATTAGTAACATCCCTAGGACCAACATCTCTGGATATGGAACCAAGCCCAAGTCGATCCTGGAGCCGAGTACTGCACATGTCATAAAATGGCTGACATGTAAATGAGGCTGGGAGCTAAATTATTGCTTAAACTGCCTTTTTTTTTTTTGGGAAAATAATGTTAAATTGCCATATAGGTTATAAAGATGAATATGTATTCTCAAGATAGTAGTTGCTGCAAAGTGGTTTCAATGCTGTTTTTAAAGTGAAAGTAAAAATGAAATGACAAAAAAATTTCTACTAATCTAATGTTTTTTTAAAGGTGCATTGTGTAATTTTTCTGGTCTCCATGGAGATGTTATTACTGGAATCTGAAAACATCAGCTGGAATGTTTCACAGTGTGGTATTAAACCTTTCTATCTTCATGGAGACTAAACCAGACCAAGTTCCAGGTCAGATCTGTGGAGAGGCAACCCCACTCTCAGTCAGAAATCCTGTTTTTCTAGGTATTTTTGACCTATAAAACCACCTGTAATTGAATAAATGTAAAGTAGAGCTGTTTAATGTCACATTGTGGAACATTCCAGGCAGATCAATGACCAAACAAGCAGGTGGCGGACTCCACCTGTTATACAGTGCATCTTTAATAGTGTTATTTACTGGTTTGCTTGTTTGGTAGTTTTAGAGCAAAATAGATAAATCTGCAAAAGAATCTGGACAAAAATGTGTAAAAATGAGTGAATGTGTGAATTCCAGTGGCCTCTGTGGTATCAAGTACTATGTGACATCAGGCAGGACTGCCCTGGTTCAAATGGTGAAAGACGACTGAAAATCTGAGAGTAAAAGTTACACAGCGAAACATTTACTCAATTACAAGTACTACTGTGAAACTTGAGTAAAAGTATAAAGTATGCATATAAAAACTACTATACTTCTTATTATGAGTAGGGTCACCTCTCCATATATCTGACCTGTAAACATAGTCTGGTTGCGCCGCTTGTCTCTAAGGAGATAGAAAAGTTTAATGCCATACTGAGGAACAATATACTGTAACATTGCATTTATTGCTCCAAGCAGAAAGCATAGTACATAGAAAATCTTTAATACTACCAACAAATGCCTAAAAAATCTCTATGCATTAATATTCAAATTGCTAGTGTGTAAATGTCCTTGCAGTTTATTATCCTTTATAAATGAATGTTAGCTAAAAAACATTTGCTCTTACATTGTCTTTTAAGGCGTCAGGGTGACGGATTTAAATCTGGTGTGTGCCACAAATAAAAAAAACATCACCAAGTGTGGCCATAAGCCTGAGCCCGTCAGATCTCAGAAGCTAAGCAAGGCTGGGCCTAGTTAGTAATGCGGTGGGAGTCAGGTGTCACAATGGGGCACCAGTTGTGTCCTTAGGCAAGGCACTTGACCCAGATTGCCTAGTATGAAAGTGGTGTGTGTGTGAGTGATGTTGGTGGTCGGAGGGGCCGATGGCGCAGGTTGCCTGGCAGCCACACTTCTGTCAGTCTGCCTCAGGGCAGCTGTGGCCAAAATAGTGTCTTACCATCACTGGGTATGGAGTGAATGAATAATGCTCTGTTAAGCATCTTTGTGCCATGTGTCTGTGAAAAGATCTATGTAAATTAAGACTTACTTACTTACTTACCAAATTAATTTACCCCCCAAAAACACATCACAGTATAATAATAACAATTCTGACAACAGCAGAGGAGGACGGCTCATTCCAGTAATCCCACACCAGACTGAGAACATCTTTGAAGCTGTGGAGATGGGGATTTAGGATTATGACCAAATTAAGGCGAGATTCGACCAGGTTTTAAAATGGTGTCTTATTTTCATTGCGATCTCTCGATCTGGAATGATCTGCAGTTGTTCAGACTATAATCTAAAGAGGAGGCTCTGTTCACACCTTTACTACAGTGAGATATGGATTGTAATCAAGATATAAACCCATTATTAAGACCACAAATGTACTATGTTTTAGCTTCAAATGTTTAAAAAAAAAAAAAAAAGTGCTTAAACAGCTGAAATAATGTTTTTTTCTCTTCCTATAATGTCAGATATGCAGGCTATGTAAAAGGACAATACAGTTTAACATCTTTAAAGGTGCACAGTGTAACATTTCCAGTGGAAGGTAAAATACCTGCTTGTCTCCATGGAGATGTCATTGCTTTGCTTTCACAGTATGACATTAACCTTTTCCATCTCCCTGGTGACAATTAAGAGATCTTGCTAAATGTAAGAAGGTCTGCATTTTAGGTATTTGAGCAATCGACACATTTTCAATCCTTAACTGAATGAACAGAGAGTGATATATTTAATGCCATACAGTGGAACATTCCAGCCAAAGCTATAACATCTTCATGAAAGAAACAGGTTGTGGACCCCCCCACCAGAAAAGTTATAATGCACCATTAAGAATTTTAGTATTTTAAGACACCAGATCTCCCCAGCCCTGCAGATTGGGTATGGAAACGTGATTGCAGTCACTGGTTACCATTGTGGACCACGCTCCCTCAGCAAAGGACACATGCCATGAACTTATCAAGTGTGGGTGCAGAGTAGCCTGTGATGGGCGATGCAAGTGTGCAAAGGCAAATTTGGCAAGTACAGGCTCATGCAAATGAGGCAGCAGCTGCACTTAGAACACTTTGAATAAGTTTAATGATTTAAGGTAGATCTCTGTTAAGTGTTTGGGGTTAAGCCCCGCTTCCATGCAGCATTTAATTATCATTATGAAAGATGATATGGCACTAAGAGATCTTTAGAGATGGTTAAATGCTTTTTGTTATAAATTTTTTTTATTTTTTTTTTAATCTCTTTTAATGTTGGTTGTTTTTTTTTTTTTCACAAACATACCTGCAGTTGTGTTTCATTTCATTCATACACACGTTTATCACAAAATCTACATATTTAGGCTGAGTTCTTCTCTCAAAACACTTTGTTCCACATTGTCATGGCGTAATACAGGAAGTGCTCCACTTTGTTTTAAAACTCCATACACTTTCACTAGAATGTTTTGGGTGATTTCAGCCCTGAAATGTAACAGAGTATTTTGAGCTTTGGAAATATAAACAAAACAACACAAAACAATACTCCAGGTATGTTTTTCAGGAGGTAACATTACATGGCTTAAATCTCATAGGTTTGCATAATATAGGGCCTTTAAATGAATCTCAAATGTGACTGCCTGCTCTGATGCCCTTCATTTTCCCCACAGACTAGTCAAATATTAAGAGTAGCTAACCGGCTAGTAGTAGTAGTAGCTAGTATGCAGTAGTAATTGATCAAAGTCCAAAATACATTTAGTGAGATTTGGCTAGATTTGGAAATGCTTTAATAATTTAGTAACTGGGAAAACTTTTACTAACATTGAATATAAATTTATAAGAACCAGGGGGTGGGTGGTCACTGTTGCACTCCACAGACCTTCACTAATTAATTGACTGAACTTCGTTTATAAAAGAGATGGCAGTCACAGTTTCTACGTATTATATTTAGACTAGTGGTAGCGTGCTTGTGGCTAATTTCCAATTGTTAATCATATGAGTGCTTTAGTTCCTCACTGACTTCATACTTTATGAATAGCCAGTACATTCACAGGATTCCCTTTTGTTTTGTGCTCACAAGTTTGTATGCACATGACTTTTGTTCACTGTCTTGTCAACTCATGTTAACCTTAGGGCAGTAGGAAGCATGATGACTAATGCAGTCACCAGTGCAACTGATTATCTTATACTAGGCCTTCTATAACTGCTGCATCTACTGGGGTACCTTAATGAAACCATCATGTAACCATCGCTTATCTAATAACCGCTATTGCAATCTACTACTATTACAAGTTCACATATATGTCTTGAATCAGCAGTTATCTGGTTGCGTATGTCAAGAAAATATAGCTACTGTAAAAAATTTGACATTTAAAACACACACACACTAAGAGCTATTGCTACATATTTGAACTACATTCTTCACATTTTCTACTGCAAATATCTGAACAACATTCTGTAACTTCACAATTTCAGTCATGTTTTCTACCTTGGATTTATCCTGTCTCCTTCACTTGAGTAACAACAGTTTAGATTATAGGTGCACTATACTGAAAAAAAGGCTGGATTTGTGTGGAAAAAATATGGAAACTTTTTTATGGTTTTACTTTTTATTTATAATTTAATTCTGTCTACACAATTATTTTAACATGCAACAACAAATGTCCTTAAAGGGTTTTTATGTAAAATATTTTTAAAAACTGTCTTTAATTTTCTACAGTTCAGTATAGTCTTAAACTGAATCAAACATATCAGAAAGCACAGGAACAGCGACACACAGTTTAAAGCTGGACAGTATGAAGACTTGATGATCTAGTCTGTGTTATATGTGTCTAAATAACACTTATTACTTTCAAATACAATATTATATTTTGTGTATTAATATTAAAATTGTTTTTAGTCTTTTTATTTTAACTGTTAACCTCACTTTCAGAATTGTGCAAAATGACTATCTAACATTATCTCTAACATTCTTGAACTTACCCACAGCTAGAGCAGAGCTCTGGATATCACTGTTTGTTTGTAGATGACTCTGGAAGCAACACATTCAAATCTTAGTACAACTGTCACACTCTTGTAGATGGGCACTGATGCTAACAATTACTGTAGTTTCATGGAAACAGTCCTTACATTAACCCTACATTAACCAACACAAACATGTTTTAACAATGACTACATTTTAGGCCAGAGAAGCATATAAAATCTTTGAAAAGTCTTACCTCCAGATCAGCTCTCATAATTCTCCTGGATGCACACTGTGTGTCCTTTACTCCTGTAACTGTCGTGTCCTATGGCAAGCCCTTTTAACATGTAAACGCTAAGTTGGTTATGTATTGGTTATGGTTATGAGAGCAGTCTCTCTCTAAAACCTTCAAATCAGGCAAGAAATCTAGGGGTAATAATGGACTCAGACTTGAACTTTAACAGTCACATAAAATCAATAACATCTGCAGCCTTTTACCATCTAAAAAACATAGCAAAAATCAAAGGTTTACTGTCTAAATCAGACTTGGAGAAACTTATCCATGCATTTGTCTCCAGTAGGTTAGACTACTGTAATGGTCTGCTCACTGGTCTCTCCAAACGAGCTGTGAGACAGCTGCAGTACATCCAGAACGCCGCAGCTCGGGTCCTTACTCGAACTAGGAAGTATGAGCACATAAGTCCTGTGCTCAGGTTTCTGCACTGGCTTCCTGTGCCTCAGAGAATAGACTTTAAAGCAGCTCTGCTTGTGTACAAGACTCTCCGTGGCCGAGCACCAAAGTACATCTGTGACATGTTAGTGTCATATGAACCATCTCGCACTCTGAGGACCTCAGGGACCGGCCTCCTGCTGGTGCCCAGAGTCAGAACTAAACAAGGGGAGTCAGCGTTTCAGGTTCATGCAGCTAAAACCTGGAACAGTCTTCCTGAACATGTGAGACAGGCCTCTTCTGTGACGCTGTTTAAATCCAGACTCAAAACATTTCTGTTTAACTGTGCATATAACTGAAAGGTTTTCATTCCGCACTCTTCTCTTCTCTCCAATTTATGTCTCTCTTTTTTTTTTTATTTTAATCTTCATGATTATTTATGTTTTGATTTGTTTTTATTATGATTTTAATGTATTTCTTATTCTGTAAAGCACTTTGAATTACTTTGTGTACGAATTGTGCTATACAAATAAACTTGCCTTGCCTTGCCTATTGCACATATCTCCAACTCAGTTTTGCCTAGTCAAAAATTTCTGATATCCGCAACAACATTTTTCCTATCCATAATGATGATCATTTTCAGATATCTTAAATTAAGTTTTGACAAGGAGAAATGACGTTATAGATATCTCTAAGTGGAATTACAACTAGTCAAAATGATGTTTTCAGTATCTCCAACTGGAGTTTGAGATAGTCATAATTTAGTTGTAGATATCTCTTATCAAGTTTTAGATATTTTTTAATGAACTTTGAGTAGAGATATCTGAATTTCATTGTGTTAAAATATAATTACAGGTATCTTGAATTTGAGTTTTGACGAGATGAAATGACAGGTGGTCACATTATTGCTCTAACTGTGATGGGGGGCCAGGGTCAGGTAGGCCATATAACAGAATTGTAACCTAGACCAAAATGACCACCAGCAGGCCTCATTGTGTAGTAGAAAATACTAGCCTGGCACAGCCATTCACAGTACTATATCAACATATAATTTGGCACATATTTATTTATTGTTACTAGTGGTTTGCAAAAGTAGTAAATACTTCACACTTTGTTTTAAGTTGAACTACCACAGATATTCCAATTAGTTATTTTCTAATAACAATAACATCAAAGGTAAGAAATGTCTGGTGATTGACACTGGCAAAGGAGAGTGAAAAATTACAAATTGTAGGTAGGCCTGATGATATTAACAATAATAATATTAATAACAATTTTACTAATAATGGCTGTGTGCAGCACTTAGTAAAAGTCAAATAAATAGCCCTATAAAATAATATACATTAAAAAAAATTAAAATTGTAATATGAGTACAGATCAACTTGCCAGCTCTTATGTCTATCCAGGTGAGTATTTTATAGGTCAAGGAGAAAATGAAATGAGCAGTAGGCCATTTACAGGTCAAAACTAAAGCAGAACAACAGTATGTAAATAAGTCATATAATTATTTACTGTAAATATAAATATAAATACTTCGTATAAATATATTTTTATTGACAAAATGAACAAAATACAAGGTGCAAACATGTTATTATTTGCCAAAAATTAATTTAAAAAAACAGGCCATGACAACTTTTGAGAATTGTCTCACAGGGCCTTTTCAAGTGGTGGGGGGCAGAGAGGTTGGGGGGCAGTTACAGTCATGTGGTGGTCCTTAGTTTGATGACCCCTGATGTAAATGATCCCACTTTAGGCGGAAGCAGAGCGTTTCCACATGGCACCTGTAGGCTGTTAACGGAAAGTTAATTTATCAGTAAGATAGCCAAAATGCATCTTAGGGTCTTTTTGTCAATGTACTTTAGTGAAACGTTCATTGAAAATTATATTAATGACAAAAAATAATTTTGACTCTGACAGTTGTTCAGCTTTAGAGACATGGCTTTTTGGATGTGTTGGTGCACTGTTAGTAGCTAGAGGCAATGTGATGCTTTCTGTGTCATGATGTCATAATGATGTTTGAGATATCTTTAACTTTCAATCTGCCTTGTCAGAACTGAATAACAGATATCTGCAGTTGTTATTTATGATGTGTGACGAGTTGAATGTCATTTTCAATGATGTAATTGCATCTGAATCTGTAATTTCGTTTTTTCTATCAAAACTGAATTGCAGATATCTCTAACTGGCCTTTCGTCTAGTGAAAATATATATAAGATATCTCAAATGACAATTCCCACTTTCCAACATGAAATTATGCCTAGTCAGAAAGACGTTGTTGATATCTACAACGTTAATTCCGGATAGTCAAACTTAGCGTTTAATGTTAAAATGGCTTGCCATGTGTCCTTCTACATTTGAATTTTCCCTCCCAAAGTTTTGGGGAGGAGATACTTCAGAGGGAGGAGCTTCACCAGAAATGATAACATTCCCACCCCCCACCCCCCTAGCGGCCACTGGTGTCCCATCCCCCATTGGACTGAGGGCACAAACTTTCAATAGGGTCAATGATATCACAGTTTCTGCTTATTTAGTGTAGTGTGATTGGACAACTGTTCTGTCAGTCACGTTACGTTAACCTGCTGCGTCAACTCGTAGCAGTTTTACGATTAGCGGCAGCTAGCTACTTTAGCCTAAAGCTCCCATGGGTTTATTTAAAAAAAAAAAAAAAATTCCACACAGGAAATCGCGAGAAGAGAGCCAAAGAGATGACACATTGGCTGTGTCCCAAAGGGCTGCAGCCTCCGAAGGCTGCGAAGGCTGCGAAGGCTGCAGCCCTTGAACTGGCCTCCGCGGACGCCAGGCCATTGTGGAAATGGGACAGGTCTAGCCCTCGGAGCCGCTCCCCCGTCGCCCAGCAACCGAGGGACGCTGCTAGAGCTAATGCTAATGCTAACACGCTCCGCGCAGATTACGCACACGGATCAGTAAAAAGAATACGCACAGGTCATCAAACTGTCGGATTTTGTGACCAAATTATTTTAATAATTCGCATCCAAATCTTATGGCCAAAAACGAAAATGTATGTTTAACTTTTGCAAAACAAAACGGCTATATTTAAGGGATACATCTTAAATAGACTAAATTATCTTAAAGTTTACAAAAACTATGATGAGATATGCATTACTAAATAATTATCATTATTAAGGATTTGTAAAGAAAGAAAGACATCTCTCCTGAGAAAAGCTGGTTTATTAAACAATCCAAGGAACTTCTGGAAATACTTTATCATAATATGAAGTCAAATATTAAACCCATTACACACACTCTGCATTAACAGGTTAGTACAAACAGCTGTATGTCAGTAAATCTCATTGTGCTTCCTTTTTGCTGAAGCAAGTGACAATCAAAAATGAACAAAATATCTTTGCCAAATATGATCATGTGGAATACCACGGTTATCTGCAGTACAATAGTACATTCTTATAGTACATGTAATTAGTTACTATCAAAAGAGACATCAAATAAATGGCACATTTCACCATAAATCAAATGTCAGTACAGACTGAAAAACATTCAGAAAAACTTATGAGCAGATGTTTTCATTTCTGTCTCACACACACTTGTTCAGATCATATGAGACTCTGGACCTCCTCCTCAGAGACTCTGGACATGGACATTGGAGACATGGACAGTGGACTTGGACCACTCAGTCTGATGTGTCTCTCGTCTTCTGGAGGAGGAAGAGCAGAATGGGTGTTAGGTCTGATTGATTCAAAGTTCTGTCCTGCAGAGTGAAAACCTGTAATGACACACACATTAAGAAAACTACAACACTATTAGAGGAAAATAAGTTTCACAGAGCATGCAGCCCCAAAGAACACCTGGACTCCCCCCGCACTATTTACATTTATTATTATTTATTTATACGCAAGGGAGTGAGAAAAACAATTCTTTATATGTTTTTCGTATGAAGAATTGACAATAAACAATTTTAACGTTGAACTTAAACTCTGATGTACATTCAGATTCAAAGGCAGTTTACATCTGAAACAGCTAAATGAATAGAGGAATCCCACACATTTGAGAAATACATATTTTCACAATTTAAAATCATAATTTCAACATGAGCATGATTCATTTGCAGCTCTTATTATTAGTAGAATTTTCAATGTAACATGCCCCATACCTAATCGTTGGCAGGAGTCTGGGTCAGCACCTCCAGCTCAGTGTTGGCTTTACTTTGTCATCTGCATTTGACCCATTTTATGAATCACAAGCATCTTGTCAGCCAACAGTTCTGTGGCCCCTGCAGTGTGCTGTGTCCTCATACGGGAGGCTGCAGATGAGAAAAGAAAATTCATGTAAAACAGATTTCTCATTGTTATAACATTACATGTGACAGACTTAACAGACAGTCAGGTCGTATCTACACCAGTGTCTGCACAAATCTGTTCAATGAGCCTCATGTCCATCATAAATCTGACCTGTCCAGGCAGGATTATTTACTCTTCACTTTACAAACATGCACGGATTGTTAAAAGCAGATAATGTATTCCCTGAATGAAATGCACACGTTGGAGGCATATATTATGTGATTTACAAGTAAATATGAGCTTTGATAGAGTCAAACTGAGTCTTTTCAGTTGAATGTATGAAATAATGCGTGTTTTCATCTTAACTCCGAGCTACACTGACCAACTGTTTACATGTTTACACTGTCCGTGAAAACGTGGAGTTTTCTCCTCGTAGCTTCTTTAAATCACTCCGTGGGCTTCTTTTCCCCTAACAGTAAAAACATCAGTAGTGTTTGATGGAAATGTGTCCAAATATGAAAGTTTGAGCGGATTTTTCATCGCATTAGCTGCACATCACTAGGCAAACTTTAGCTCAAAACTCCGCGGTTCACGCAGTTAAAAACAAACTTATTTGACAGTTTTGTGGGAGTTATGGTCGTACTTTACGTTTACAGTTGTGTTAGTAATGATTTCCTAAAGTTAAAAGTGTTACATGTTTTTCTCCGCTCTCCGGACGGGCTTTTTGCTGCGTGTTTTCGCTCCGTGTTTTCGAACATCTGACTGCCGCCGCGCGGTGCATGCTGGGATACTGAAGGCTGCGAAGGATACTCGGATGTGTCCTCCGTTCGCGGCCCCATCTCCATGGAAACGAGGCCGGTTTTAGGGCTGCATTTGAAGGCTGCATGACATAAAAATGAAATGGGACCATGGCTTGAATGGGACAGGCCTTGCTTCACCGGAAGTGACGTATGCGGCCTTCAAACCAGCCTTTGGAGGCTGCAGCCCTCGAATTGGGACACAGCCATTGATAGACCCGCCGCCGGGACCAGGCAGAGGATAGAGTCTATCCGCCTTTGCCCGCTTGTTTCTGGGTGTAAAAGTTTGTCCTGGGCGTAGCGCAGAGGCAGAAGTCTACCTGGTGTCCTGGTGCTAATATGGACTGGTGTAACTTTCAGATTTAAGTAGCAAGTGGGATTAAGTTTTAGTTTTACAACCAGCTCGTGGATTCGACTCCCGGACCTCGCGTCACGGACCTGACTGGACCGGGATTTGAACAAGTTTCATCTCTTCATATTGGACAATACACTTTTGGAGACAGAACCAGTGGGAAGAGCAGATAGAGGAAACACTCTGCTTCAGTCTCTGGAGAAGGTAAGAGGCTGGTTTTCATTAGTTTGCGGCAAATCTAAAGACGGAGCGTCACAGATAAATAGTGTTATAGTTAAATAGTGCGTAAATGAGCTGGTGGGTGCGGTGGAGCTGCGGTTGTTCTGACGTGTGCTGTAGGAGCGGCGCTGATGCCGTGTGTTCATGTTGTGTTCATGTTGTGACCAGAGCCTCTTATCTTATTGTAGTTTTGTTGACGTTGTTGGGTCTGGGTGTGAGCAGCGTGTTACGTTGTGTTGTTGCGTAAAGTTTTCGCGTGGCTGTTCATTTTGCTCTGATATAGTTCAGCCACTAGTAACCAAAATATTCAGAATTTATATTTATAATTTTGGCCTTGGTGCCCCTCCCAAAAATTATACCACCATTTTTTTATTTTTTAATATCTCACATCAGGAGAAGTGTGTGGACGGCGTGCCCTCGCGTACCACGCCCACTACAGCCCTGGTGCTGGCCGACGCGTGGCTCTTTCTTGCCCGATTGCTTCTTTCAGTGATGTTCATGTGTTTTTGACGAGAGGTTGTTGTTTAATGTTTACAACCAGTGGCAGGCCTTATTGTTTTGTTTGTTTGTTTTTTTTGGGGTTTTTTTTTGTTTTTTTGTTTGTTTTTTTAAAATACATTTCAACCTTTTATTATTGTCTTGTGTGCGTATCGTCTACCACACAGCCTCAACACCTGTTGCAGGTAATAGTAATAATATTAACAATAATGATAATAATAACAACAATCCATAATTAGCCTAATACTCTTAAAGAAAAACGTGTTTGATAGCATTTCTGCTTTGTATGACTCCACCCCATTAAAATATTTCTCGAATGGCAGTGCAACTTTATCTATATCTCTATTATACTGTGTAACATTTCAGGCAAAGGAATAACATGGACATAAGCAGCTTGACTCCGTAACAAAAAAACTGTGCACCAATGCGTGCATTTTTAATATACTCATAAAAAAAATATACATTTAAAAAAGGAAAGTTATATTTATTTTTTCATGCAAAGTTTAAAGCCAAAGACATACAATTTCCAACATTTATACTATATTAATGATATTGGTTGTGGTTGGCTGGCTGTGATTCAATCCTATTACCTTATTATCGCTGTGTCTCTGTGCAACAAATAGTATGTTTAATATATTTTTCATGTAGCTTATATCTGTCTTTTTATTGTCAATAGGCTACATTCCACTCAAATAAAAAGTTAGAGTGTGTAATTCTGTGACTAAAGTGTACATGAAACGCATAATAATGTTTTCACTGCATTCCTTGTTTAAGCAGAATCAGATGGCTTTGCTATCCACTATGTTCCCATATGCTTCACTGAAAATATCTGATTACTTTTATTCAACTGTAGACTGTAAAATGCTACTTTACTCCACTACTGCAGTAAAACCCGCTTCAAATAGAGACATACTGCGCGACCATAGGCACAAGAGCACATGAACGCGCGCCCTGGTCTGTAGCGTTCTGATTGGCTGCGCAGTGTCCTCCCAGTCAGGTGGAGTTTTGCCTTTTAAGCATCTTGTTCTTTGCTTGTCTATACACAACCCAAGTGCGATTCCACTGTGTACACATCGTCACTATTGACAACAATTCACGCGGAGGAGATGGCTAATAGCTCTTTTAATAAACCGGACATTGAGCGCGTATTCAGAGGTACATTTGTGCACTCGACCCGGACCTGCGCGCTCCAGATCTTGGAAGACGCGCTTTTAGGAGTAGACACGGAAGGGAAGGTTTGTTCTGTTGTTATTGTTTATTATATTGATTTTTGTATGCTTAGCAGTTACTCTTTTTTTTTTACGTTTTACGAAGTAACTTGAATGTGTGGCAATGTAAGTCTTTATTGTCTGTTAACTCAGTAAACAAAAGGTTTGGACCTATTGCTGAACTCCTGAATTATGTGACAACAGAGGTGGGACCTTAGTTTGCAAGTCAGTCTCACGTCTTGGCCTCAAGTCTAGTCAAGGCCCAAGTCCTGTGCTTTGAGCTTCAGTCCTGTCTTTATGCCGACGTACAGGGGATAAGCTTGTCATTTTGAAACTGACAAGACCAGTAGGTCCACACCGCTTGCAATGATTGTGAAAAATAAGCCTAATGGGTTGCTTTCATAACAAATGAATCATTTGACATTTGTTATGAAAGAGTCGAGTAGCATTTTCAACAAACACCACACATGAAATATATCTTGTTTTTTTGTCAGATTGCTTTCATAGAAAAGGGTGAGGACCTGGGTAGACTGGCTGCAGACTTCAAAACCTCAGACATCATCCAACTCTCCCAACAGTAAGATAAGTTTTATCACGGTCTATTTCTTTATGTATGTGAATAGCTATGAAGCTCATTAAAAGTAAGCTATCGAAAGTCTTGTTTCATAGATGACTTTTTATGGAATATATAGTAGCCTGCAATGATTTAGAAAAGAGTAGGATATGTCTGGTTTTTTAATTGTTTCTTGAGCTTCATCCTTGATCTTTTGATTTGTAGCATGCAATTTATCATTTCATTTCAACTAAACCTTCCTTTTCCCTCTAGTGAGTTCTTTATGCCAGGACTGGTGGACACACACATCCATGCTTCGCAATATAGCTATGCGGGCACAGCTCTGGACCTACCTCTACTGCAGTGGCTGAACACATACACGTTTCCAGTGGAATCACAGTTCAAAGACTTAGACTTTGCTCGCAAGGTCTATAAACAAGTAGTGGTACGTTTTGGTGACTAACATGTCATGTGAAGGAAAGTGGTCTTTCGCAAAGCATGCAGTTTTAGAAAACTGACAATGAGCAATTATCAGCTTAACAAAAGTGAAGAGTGGATTGTCTGAATGCTGTTTTAAGCTTGTAACATGACACTTCTTTTTAACAGAAAAGAACCCTGAGAAATGGAACAACTACTGCATGTTACTTTGCAACAATTCATACCAACAGCTCTCTCCTGCTGGGAGAGATTGCTAGTAAGGAAACTAAACTGAGTCTAAGTATCTTCAGTACTGTACTATCTTCATTTGATACTACAGTATTATTCATTGTCCAATATACAACTTATTATTGACTTATAAAATTGTGTTCAAAAGACATGAGCATTAAATATTTGGCCAATTATTGTTAAATATTCTGAGGTGTGTTCTTTTAGTTCCTTTGTGTATAATCATCAATGACTCGAACAGCCGTGGCACATGCCTCTGTAGTCACTATCACTCAAGCTAACCTTTGCCCTTTTGTGCTGTTGTAAAAAGATGTTCCCATCATTAGAGTTTACAATTAATTTCTTAGTTACTTGTCTCTGGAGCAGTTCAGGACTAGTGTTATGGAGGAACATGCCAAAACTGCATGCTCCACCATCATTTCTCAGGTAGCTGCCAGATCCTTTACCCTGAAAAATGAAGAGAAGGGTCTCTGCCTTAAATTAAACGACTATCAAACTGAATCATCATTCAATATTTCAGTCATCTGAATATAGCTTATAGCCTCAGTGTTGTAACCAGGGTTTTCATATCCAATTAATAGACTCCAAGTGTTTATATAATCACTATGATAATCATTGCAAAATAAAATTATATTATGCATTGTGTAAGAAGAGTAAGGGTGGTAATATGGTTTAATATTTATCTTGTGTACATTATAGATGCATTTGGTCAAAGAGCGTTGGTAGGTAAAGTGTGTATGGACAGAAACAATGCTGTCAAATACTACAAAGAAACACTGCAGGAGTCTCAGGACGAAACCTGTCGGTGAGTCAGTGCTATCAAAGTGTCCATTTCCATTTCCAGTTCATTTGCAAAGAACTAAATATTTATTCTCTATACTCCAAAGGTTTATTGCTGAGCTCTTGAACAAAAAGGTAAAATACATTTTCCATAATATAAACACCAACTGTTTGATATGCTTAAAATTGAACTGAATGTTGGTGTTTTTCAGTACCCTCTAGTAAAGCCAGTTGTTACCCCACGGTTTGCTCCATCCTGTTCAGGAGCCTTACTTGGACAGCTGGGAGCAATTGCCAAGAATAACAACCTGCACATCCAGGTGATTTTTCTTTAGCAACCAACTCTGACTGTATCTCCTGGGACTTGTTGTCAGAGACAGCTATTTTGTACGTGCATGCTCCACTGTAAACAATTGACTTTATTTGAAGCAAAGCAAACACACACACTAAGCAAAGCCTTTGTTCTGGAGCTCTGGTGTCTCAGTACTGTAGTTCAACTATTAGTACAATACATTTGTGATTCCAAAGTCGAGTAGGTATTTTACTTGTACATGGTACATCTCAAAATCTGCTATTAGAGTCATGCCTTTGCAAAATATTTGAGGGAGATGAACTGATCAAAATAAATGTCATTATTTATCTTCTTGTCTTTCATTATTATTGTGTATATTTACTGGGAATTTGATTTATTTATTTCAGAGTCACATTAGTGAAAACCCGGAAGAAGTGATGCTGGTAAAGGAATTGTTCCCTGAGTCTGAATCCTACAGCGACGTTTATTGCAAATATAACTTGCTTACTGACAAGGTTAGTTTCAACTGCACACAGATCGAATTATGTAATGACATTATTATGTTGTGTTTTTATTCATTAACTTTGTACAATTAACAGACAATAATGGCCCATGGCTGTTACCTGAGTGACAAGGAGCTGACCTTATTTAGAGAAACAGGAGCATCTCTGTCTCACTGTCCAAACTCCAACATTTCGTGAGTTATTTATTTCAATGTTGATTATCATAATAAATAATGTTACTGTAAGAGTTGTATTTATTGTGTGGAAAAGGTTGTGTAGCGGTATTTTGAATGTACGGAATGTTCTGAAACACAATGTCAAGCTGGGGCTCGGAACAGGTGAGAATATTTGATTTTATTCAAAGTCCTCCCAGGAGTTTGCTGGACATGTCCATAAATGTAGTCATATCATGGTCCTCTTTTAGATGTGGCAGGTGGATATTCTGCCTCTATACTGGATGCTATGAGGAGAGCACAGGACTCATCCAAAGTCTTGGCCATGCAAGATTCAGACTTGGACCCCCTAACATTTGAAGAGGCCTTCAGATTGGCAACTCTTGGTGGCAGCCAAGGTAGGTTTAAAATATGTTACTAAATAAAATAGTGCAAAGCATCTGTTTTGCAGTGCTGAGATAAGCCCTGTTTCATAATGTAGATATTATGACACTAAACACAAGTTAAGAATGATTATTGGAGGTAGTGGAGATTGCTTGTTTTGAAGATTGTTACCATATACAGTAGTGTGAACCTAGTCAAAAAAGGGGATAGTGAAAACATAGAAGGATTCTTAGACAAGAAAAATTTAAATCTATACTAACTTCTTAATCTATACATTTGTCACCCTGAAAATGAATAATTAATGATATTGTGTAGTTTGTATGGAAATGCGGGCAATTCTTGAAAATGTTTTCCTGGAAGTAATCGGAGAACAAATCAAACCAAAGTGTCCGGGAGGATGTCGCTGTCTTGTGTGTTTGTGGTAATGGCTTTATGTAACAATATTATGTCCTTGCTGCTGATAGCTTCATCTGCACTTTCAGGGTTAAATTAAATATAAAGTAGACATGTAGGATATGTGGTTTGGGACAAACTAATCTTTCCATTCAGAAGCCCAGATAAATGAACCAGGTCAGAAAGGCTTGTGGGGAAAAATACAATACCAAAAAAAAAAATCAATAAATGCTTTAAATAAATTTAAACCACTGCATGAGTCAGATTGTTTCCTAACCCCAAAGGAGACAGATTAAAATATTGTTTATTGCAGGCTAAAAATTAATTTCATTATTGTTTCAGCATTATCACTAGATGGTCAAACAGGAAACTTTGAAGTTGGCAAAGACTTTGACGCTCTCAGGGTGAATTTGATTGTGCCAGGTGGACCTATTGATCTGATACAGCACGAAGAGCCAAAGGTTGCTGTAACTGAAATAAAAATAATAATAAATTGCAGTTGTTTCCTCTGAGCTATCTTTAATATGCTTTTGCTTTTGATCCTTTAGATACTTGTAGAAAAGTTCCTGAATTTAGGTATGTGTTAATGATTCACAAAATTATTTAGATTTTGAATAATCATTAGCTCATTAATCAGTACTGTTTACAAATATTTTCAGGGGATGATCGCAACATTGTGGAGGTGTTTGTGGCTGGCAGAAGAGTCGTCCCATTCACAGATTCAAAACCGGAATGAACCAGAATGATTCTAGTGAAATGTGGTAAATGTTTTCTAAATGACCATTTGCCAAACACATATATATGGCTATGTCGCTTTTTCTGGTACATGCTGCCTTAATTTCGATTGTAGCCTGTAACTAACTTACTTACAACATTCTCTATTTTTCCTAAAGTAAATGCATAACGGGAGGCCATTAGTACAGTGCCAATTAAAACAGAAGTATCTGTAGTTGTTGACAGGGCACAATACACTGTTTATTACTACAGCTATAGCAGTTTGCTTTGCTCTGTTTACTCCACTCAGGAATCAAATTTCATGAGGCATTGTCTTTTCATTTATAATTACGCATGCTTATACATTTCTTTTTGTACAGGCATTGATAAGTTAGTGTTAAAAATGCTACTTATGGAAACAAAGGGAGCGCATTTAGTAACCCTATTTGTTTTATTTTGTAACTCTTATTAAAATGTGAGATTTTGTCATTCATTTTAAATGTGTGTATGTAGCAAATAGAGAGCAGAGCAGATCTAAATAGAAAGACATTTGTGTTTGTCACATGAAAGAGGAATGACACAGCCCACTGACACTCATCTTTAAATAGAACTGAAATAGACAAAAAGTCACTGACACAGGAGGATGTCAGCGAAGACAGGCTTCTGTAGATTTTTTTGGGTAAATTGTTTTTTGTTACATCATTGTCACTAGCATTTGAAATACATTTGATAAAACTATTCTTAATGTCAGTGTGGTTTCTCATTAATTAAGTCAAAAAGAAAAATCTTTATTATCTCAAGTTGGAGAAATTCAGCTATATGATGGACGCACTTTCAATGACAGCAGTGAACATATTATTTCATGTCTATAAATTCACACAATTCATCACTCAGGACGGATATCAATTTCTTTGATGCCATACAGCTGCACAGTCCAATAAAAATGCATCGTTATTCATCCACATTATTGCACAGCATAGAATTTTCAAGAGCAGTTTCTGATTTTCCCTGATTTTGGTAATATGCCTACTATAGCCAATATAGCAATGTTTTTTATAAATCTTTCTTTGCCATAAAATAAAATTTTAAAAAGCCTATTAGGATTTTTGAGAATTGCAGAAAGATATATACTTACTTACTTAAGCTTACGGTCCAAACAGGTTCGCCACAGGGATCTATTAAAATAACTTGATGTGGTATTTTAAGAGAATAGAGAATAAAGAACTGTTTCGAGTCGACTTAGTGGCCGCTCATTGGTACTACAGCGAAAAAATCCTTCCAGTCCAGGAAGACTTTTCCCATAGAGCTCAATGTAATGACAAACGGCTCTTGTTCGGCTGACCGTGTTCGCATATTGTACAAACATTACAGTAACGAGTCCTTCCATTGGCGTCAGTATTGAGTCAGGAGTGACCACACAGTCAAAGACATAGAACCAGGAAGTAACCTCGTCTATTGTCGAGCAAAGGGTAACATTAGCTGTACATTTCCATTAGCTTTATATCTAACATAGAAAAAATACTGAATTCACTTTACTTTCAAGGTAAGTGGCAAATCACCACACCTTTTATGATGAACTTTTTATTTTTATTTATTTTTTGCTGTATTTCGATATTTCTGCAAGGTTTTCAGTTCTTTTTATCCAGAATAGAGTTTGAGGTTAACCTCTAACAAGTCATCAAGTAATAAAAAAAATAAGATTTTTCTTTTATTTAAAGGTGCATCCACCCCTTGCTTGTCGCCATGGAGATATTGATATTGCTGAGCTTGAAATGTTCCAAAGTTTGCATTAAACTTGACTTGCATATATTAATTCAAAAGCATGGATTCTGAGTGTGAGAAGAAGGCCTGTAAATTGGCCTCGTGGTAATACCATATTGTGGAACATTTCAGGCAAAGCCATTACATCTATATGGAGACAAGAAGGTAGTGAACCTTTCAGCAGAGAAGATTGATATAGTGTGCCTTTCAAAGAAAAACAATAAAAATAGGCCAAACTAAATAGACACCTTTTTATTGAAAGCATTGAAAGAAGGATTTTTACAGACAAGTTCCAAAATTGTATTGACAGTTAACTTAACAAATAACTTTAATAACAGATTAAAATTTTACTAATTTAGTGTGAACACTCAAGTCAATGCCTCTGTATGGAGCCTCAAAGGGAGACCAGAGGAAAAAGCAGCCCAGACAGAAAGAGTCTCCTGGATGGATGAACAGCTCCAGCACTACCACAGATGAAGATGGCAGCGCACTTTCCCTCACTCGCCTTTGCCTTCTCAGTCTGGCTGACAACATGAATACCATATGGGTGAAAGATTACACTGACAAGTACTTAGATCAGTACTTATTCAGACATATAATGGGGCCATTCAATGTGCTGTGTAAGTATTAAATTTCACATGTTTCATACTGTTGCTTGTTTTTGCTTTTATACAAACAAATATCTGTGGTTTGTATATTTTTGTTTGTTTATGGGTCTAGGTGCTGAGCTTGTGGAGGATCTAATTAAGTTGCTGTGTATGAGAAAGAAATTATCCCGAGCAGCCCTTGATTTGCTGCTTGTTCCACAGTTACGTACACTGTCTCTTGCAAACTGCCCAGGCCTGGTCACCACTCCTGTCTGTGCCCAGATTGCTGCGCGTTGCCGGGTCAGTTACATAATAATTACATGCTCACATACTGATGCATATCACATGACCTGAAGAAACTGCCAATTTTATATTTTTGTCACTTTATTATTATTATTTGGCTGTTTACAACAAAAAATATAAAGGAAAAAAAAATAATTACATCAAAAATGATCTGTCTATTTGTCAGAGAACTTGCATTTCTAATATGGTTTGGGACTATTGTCTATTATAATCGGTATAATACATACTTTTGTCTAAGAGTATGTTTCTTATATTTTGCAGCTTCTTTCTTACCTGGATTTCTCTGGAGCACAGCAGCTGTCCTCAAAAGTCCTCTCACAGACTTTTCCTTCTTTACCTAAACTACGCTCACTCTTTCTGGCTGGAACAACCACTGATAAAAGTGTCCTTAGAACTATTGTCCAAAACCTCACTCTACTGTGCCACTTGGACATATCTCGGTGTCATTTGGTCTCCCCTGCTGATCTACTTCTTCTTGGAGGAGGTGTACTATGTCAGTCTTCTCACACAAACAGCCCCTCAACATCAGCTTCATGCAGTAACTTATCATCAGACATTTCTACTGTTCCTCCTCTACCTCTCCACAGCCTGCTGGCTTTAGATATTGGTTTTGAGGAACAAAATGGCGACGCTGTAGCAATAGCAGCATACCTTCTTCTCACATTGTCTGGCTTAGAAAAACTAGCCATTGAAGGTATTGCACAGGCATGCAAACTTATTTTGCATGGTGACTTTAACCAGACAGATATGTTCGCAGCCAGATATGAGGTCCCTTCTTTGGAGGGAGTTTGGAAACGGTGGAAGCAAAGACAGGATAGAGTTGAATATAATAACAACAAAGTAAAGGAAATGGAAGAAAATTGCAGTGAAAGTGAGGATGAAAGCTGTTTTATGCAAGACAAAAATGAGTTAACGCTCAGGCTGAGGGATGTCCGAATATTGTCGTGTGAGTCTTTGATAAGTCTTTGCTTTTTGTGCCCAGGAATCAGCAGTATATCCATCAATGCTGATTATCCTCACACCATACAAACTGATGAAGTGACACATTTAACCAAATCTCTTGAGGGTTTTTCAGGCCAGTTAAAAAGGTTGTCCTTACAGTATTCAGACTTTTTGCAGAATCTGGTCAACACTGTGTGCGTTGTAGGATCCACTTTGCTCTCACTTACTCTGGAAGGAGTAAAAACAACCCCCTCCTCTTATTCTTCTCTGCTGACTATCCTCCAGGCTTCTTCTAGGCTAAGAGAATTGTCTATCTCACTTGAACCTTGCCATCCCTCTTTTTCACTTGAATATACTATTAACCGCCAAATAGATTGGAATAAGCTACATCTGCCGGACCTTCGCAAGCTAACACTACGGTATGGATATTTATTTGTGTTGTTTATTACTTACATTTTTATATTCTTTTTAAATATAAATTTCCAACATTGCATATCAGTCTCATTAGAGATTATTAATTAGGGCTTTATAGAGATTTAAAAAGTTTAATATTTAGAATTTCTCATAGTTAAATGTTTTTAATGCATGATTCACTTTGTTATTTATTGATTACAATGTATTTATTTTTGTAGGTTCTCGTATGAGCATAGTCAAATGAAACCTCACATTACACAGAGCTTGTTCCTTGAGACGATACTTGCTTGTCTCCTGGCACACTCCTCCCTCCTTCAAAAGGTTTCATTGATCTCCTTGCCTTGTCCTTTGAACTGTATTTTGCAAGAAGTGCTACACCGAGCCAGCATGAACCAATTTGACTCTTTGCCTCTAAGATGTCTGCAACACCTCGACCTACAAAGAACTGATATTAAGATGGAAACCGTAAATAACTTACTTATTCAGTGTAAGAGGCTGAAGTTTTTGAACATCAGTTTCTGCTGGAATATCTGCCACTCTGAGTGGACAGACAGAGTGAGATCTGGCCATGTAGAAGTTGCATGGATGTAGGCGTGACAAGTGATTCCAAATAATAACTCCAAAGAAACTTGCTTATACTCTTTGATACAATTTGTTATGGTTTAGTACAAATAAACAAGGTATTCATTGCAAACTAAGCAAGGAAACCCCAAAAATATATAGCAGTTAAATATATTAGCATTGTCAACAAAAAGTCTTTTCTGTCAGTTTGAAATCTGTCATTTATGTACACAGCAACACAGCCCCTGGCACCACACAGTAGTTGCCAGGGGCTGTTAGAGACTGCTGGCTACTGTTGCTGTGGCAATTGCAGTGGTCATCTTATGATTGTAGCATCACAGATAAAGATATAGATACTGTGCAGAACTCTCAAGCTCCCAGGCCTTTGATATAGGACCCAAGCTGGATGAGGGGGAGAGGTGAGGAACACATTTTACATGCATTGGGTTTCTGATGGCATCACACCACTCTAAAAGCAAACTGTACACAGGTGGGGGATTGCTAATGTAGGCCTCTTGTTAAAAGGCATTTTTGTTGTAATACAAGAAGTTAATGGATCTAGTCACTTATATAGATCAGCTGGTTCAATATTTGTGAACTGCACTTTATGTCGGTGTGTCTCAGTCTGCTTCAGTCACCTCCAGCTTGTGCAGCACACCCAGACATCAGGCCTTTTATCCCCACTGGCTTCCAGTTTTATTGATTTAAAATTTTTACTGTTTGTTTTTAAAAATCTTAACAGCCTTGCTCCTGTCCTCCTGTCTGTCCACGACTCAAATAGGACATTAAGATCAAGCAACCAGCTTCCACGGTAAATCTCTAGAGCCAAGTTTAAACACTGGGATGACCGGGTTTTCTCTGTCACTGGCAGACTCTGGAACAAACATCAATATGCGCATCATCACAGACTTTGGCTTTTTTAAATACAGGCCTATCTATTCAGGCTGGCTTTAAACAGTAATGCACTTTGCACAATTTGTTTTACGTATTTCGTTGTTTAATGTTTTGAATGTTTTTATATTGTGTTGGTTTTATTTGAAAGCACTTTGGTCACCTTGAGTGTTGTAAAGAGCTCTATAAATAAAGTCTGATTGATTGATTGACTGAATTTGACTTTTATATATTTCTTGGAGAGACAAAAATCCCACACATCATCTTACTTGCAAATTGTGAATTTTATCAGTTTTACTAATAGTTCTTAATCAGGCAAATAAAGAAGAGCTATAGGAGCCCAAATAGGGTATGGCAACTTGGCAAGCACAGGAGTGACAGGTTTGTCAAACACATTATTAAAATAAATAACCGTCTAATCCAAAAAGCAATCGCCACATTTACAGTGTAATATTTAACAACCCAAATGCAAATATATTTAATATAATGTAATGTAATACATGAGGATCTCTCTAGTTTTATATACCACAATGGACGGTGACCCTGCGTAGAGGGGTGTTGAGCGCATGGATCTTACAAAGCGCACTTGCGTGGTTGGGCGGTATTAAATGTGCACATTGCACGCACTACTGCGGCCCATCCAAAGACTAAAACCAAACGCACCAGTGTGGAGAGTATCCACTACGTCACACGACGTAAACCTGCCACATACTCGCTTTAGCCAGCGGTTAGCATCCCATGGCCGACAAAATTATAAATTGATTGTGTTACTGTGGATATCCTGATTTATCTGTAAGTACCTTAAGGAATACAAATATGTACTTTGTCGTGTTGTTTGATTGGAGCTAATAAACTTAGGATGCAGCTGTTCTTTTAGACGAAACATAGACATACCTAGCTAGGCATACCTTTCATGTTCACTGTGAATTATGTAATAAACTGATAGCGTTCTTTCGATGATGAACAAAAGTGAGGTACCAGTGGGTTGTGGCTGGAGGTCAAAGAACCTGTAACCCAGGGGCCGACGAATGCTTCATCTGGTGGTTAAATGATACAAAACATCCCCGGATAAAGCCATCGCATATTACATCCTCCACAGCTTTATTACTGCATGTAATACAAATTTTTGACATTTAAAAATAAATTTTTTTACAGAACATGAATGTAAGCTGTAGAAATCTTGTGGGGTGGTCGAAACAAGCTCTGCCCTTTTGCACCTTCATAACAATGCTACTATAATCGGAGACAGTCGTCAACATGGGAAGGTTGTACTTCTTCATTATTGGTTTGACATAATGCTTAACAGTAACAGTGCATTACTAATCCAGTCTTTGTCTTTATTTTGACAGGATAAGTTTCTCATGCCTTTTCCCAGCGTCATGGCATTTCAGTCTATCCTCACAAGTTCTTCCACGGCTCATGATTCCGTCATTCAGGCAATGGATACTTATAGGTCTCATTTTTGGTCTCATTGGACTACTGTACATGCTACTTGCATCTGGAAAGGGTCCTGTCATCTGGCACGCTAAAGAAAATCACTTTCACAGGTATATTGCCGCTGCTCATTGTTACTGTCTCTACAAGACCTTTTAGAAAGGGTGCAGTTGTATATTTCCTGATATAACAGAGATCCAGTAGTATAAACAGAAATTATTTGATAATTTTGGATGTAAATTAGCAACTGGTATTCCTAACTTGCATTATCTGTGTTATTTCTTAAAGGCACCTGGCAAGAGTCACTGATATCGATGCAACTGACACAAGCAACCCAAATCTGAATTATGGCCTGGTGGTGGACTGTGGCAGCAGTGGCTCCAGAATATTTGTGTATTGTTGGCCCAGACACAATGGCAACCCTCATGAGTTGCTAGACATTCGACAAATGAGAGACGAGCACCGAAAACCAGTGGTCATGAAGATAAAACCAGGTGATTATTTTTGGGATAATCTTAATGACATCCAGTTGACATATTTGCAGTACCTCAGAATTGTGTCGAAAATATGTCTTATTTGAGGTTCAAATCATGCACATAACACACATAAACTATGGTGCAGAAATATCATCTTATACTTTTTATTTTAATCTTGTCCTTTTCTTATTACACTTACACAAGATTGTAATATTTTCATATCTCCAAAATTGCAATATAATCAACATTTCTCATATAACTATATATTTATCATCTCTATTTGCAAATTAATGTGGAAGTTAACAAACCCTCATTTAATTTGTGTTTTATGTTTTACTCCTGTATTTGTTTATTTTTTTAGGCATTTCCGAACTTGCCAAAACACCTGAAAAAGCTAGTGATCACATCAAACCACTGTTAAACTTTGCTGCCCAACACATTCCCAAAAATAAGCACCAGGAAACACCATTATACATTTTATGTACAGCTGGAATGAGAATACTTCCTGAAAGGTATGCCTCATTATTTTTATAAAATTTTTAGTAAGAGATCCCTCAAATGGCAGAAAGTGTTGACTGGTGTGTTTTTCACTTAGCCAACAAGAAGCACTTCTTGAGGATTTGCGAACAGATATTCCAGTGGACTTTAACTTCCTTTTCTCTGATTCCCACGTGGAAGTCATCTCTGGAAAACAAGAAGGCATGTTTATGTATAGTTTATATATTAAATAAACGTGATTACTGAAATCATGATTATTCATTATATTTTCTATTGATATAGGTGTTTATGCGTGGATTGGCATTAACTTTGTCCTGGGAAGATTTAATCATGCACACAGTGGTAAGGGTTTATGGCAGTAGATTGTTGGTTTAAAAGAAAAGGCCCAAAATATATATATATATTTTTTTTATATTTTAGAAGGGGAAGCTGTAGTTGAGGTAAATGTTCCAGGTGGTGTTCAGCAGGAGGCGTTGGTGAGGAAAAGGACTGCTGGTGTCTTGGACATGGGTGGTGTATCTACACAAATCGCATATGAAGTGCCCAAAACTGTAAGCTTTGCCTCTCCACAGCAGGTTATTATCCACCAATTCTGTTTTGTTTTTATCACTCACCCTTTGTTCTTTTCCCTCTCTGATCTCTGTCACTTCCTGATTAAAACATATCAGACATTTTTGTCCTGTGGAGATGAACTCCTCTCTATTCACCACTGTGAGATTGTTGCATGACTTAACTAAAATAAAGTTGGGGAAACTAGAATTGTAGATGTTAAGACATTCAGTAAGGGTCTAATTACATTATATCTTATTTTAAATTATAAATGGTACCTTCATTTGTAACTGTATTTTTTGTTTATTATTGACATACCTTGAAAGCCTACTATTCCACTCTACTATTCCATTAACATAATGGTGCTTTTGAAGGAGGAAGTTGCCAAAAATTTACTGGCTGAATTCAACTTGGGCTGTGATGCACACCGCACAGAGCATGTTTATCGAGTTTATGTCTCCACTTTCTTGGGTTTTGGTGGCAATGCAGCTCGTCAAAGATATGAGGAGAATATAATCAGAAATTCTATCTCCCGTAACAAGTAAGACATTGTTTATTAATGTGTTATTTTTGTTATCTAGCCGATTACACTCTGTTACTTGATCTGGCCCCTTTGAGCAGGCTTTTAGGTGAGCATTTTGGTGAAACAGTGGACTCGCCCTTCCTCGATCCTTGTCTACCTACTGACATGGAGGATACCATTGGGACCTCAACACAGAAGTTCTTTGTAAGAGGGACAGGGAACTTTGATGAGTGCAGACAGCTCCTCCAGCCATACTTAAACCGTACCAGTGAGACTCAAACATCTCTGAGTGGTGTCTATCAGCCCACCATTGACTTCAGCAACAGCCAGTTTTATGGCTTCTCTGAATTCTACTATTGCACAGAGGACGTGCTGCGAATGGGTGGAGATTATAATGCTACCAAGTACACACAGGCTGCCAAGGTAAAATGGTTTAAGTGCAAGCTGTTTTCATTTTGAATCATAATTTATTATATTTTACTTTTCCAGAGTTACTGTGCCACACAGTGGAAGACTCTGAGAGAGCGCTTTGATGCTGGTTTGTATGCTTCACATGCAGATTTTCATAGACTAAAGTAAGTAGCTTGTATATGAACTTTTTTTTTTTTTTTTTTTAAACCTGTGAACATGTGTTTATCTTTCTAGGTACCAGTGCTTTAAGTCTGCATGGATGTATGAGGTTTTGCACACAGGCTTTTCTTTTCCAAGCAACTATCAGAACCTCAAGACTGCTCTTTTAGTTTATGATAAAGAAGTACAATGGACTTTAGGAGCAATACTTTACCGAACAAGATTTCTGCCTTTGAGGTAAGATTAGACTATAGATGATACTTTGTGCCACTAGGACTACGACAGTGTTTTAATGATAGGACTCCACTTTAAGATGACTTGCAAATGTAACTGCTTTTGACATTTTTGGATACAGCTATAATTCTAGTTAAGACTTAACAAATGACTGGACTAACTATAAGTTATCCACCCTGCTATATCGCATTAAGTATATGCCCTTGTTTCTGTTTAGGGATATCCAGCAGGAAAGCCTTAAAGGATTACACTCCCACTGGCGGCACAGTTTTTCTTTTGTCAACAACCACTACTTATTTCTGGCGTGTTTCTTCATTGTGTTGCTTTCGATTATGCTGTACTTACTGCGACTTAGACGAATCCACCGGCGTACAGCTCAGCGTTGCAGCCCCTCTACCTCACTATGGCTGGAAGCAGGCCTTGGATCACCCACTCTGCCTATTAACCTCTAAATGTTATAGAGCATAAAGCTTGGACAGCATGCCTGACTTCCCAAAGCACTCTTTTATTTGATTTTTACTCATCTGCTTGTTGGGCAAGCTTTTAAAATCTACAGTATGTGCTGGATTGTGATGTTTGAAAGATTATGTCACAACACAAGGAGATTTGCTGACATCTCCGGCAAACTGAGCCAATGTTTTAAGTTATAAGTTATTTCTGAATCATTTTAAATTTGTGCCATTAGACAATGTGGCAGGATTTAGATTTGATCTGTTTAGTTTGAATGTTGTTTTCTTTTCTTAACAAAATCACGGTAGGCCTTTTGGAGTCTTTATTTAGCTGTATGGTACTTGCCTTTTGTATGTTGCATGATTGTGTCTCTTTGTTATTGCAAAATGCAGTAATATTTCACATTTTATACAAACCACATATGCAATGCATTTCTGTTGTGAAGGACTTTTGCAGTACTCTGCACCGCAGCTATGTATATTATTATGTTTTATGTTCAAATTGTGAGTCACTACTTGTGCAATATACTGTACTGTATGTCTTGTCACTGTCTGTAGAGATGAGTTTTGTGTGGCTTCATTTCTTGAAGCCATTGTATCACTGATATTATCTGGGGCTTGGGACTTGTTATTAAGATTTCAAAACATGGAATTTATTTATGTTACTTGTTTGCACAGAATGCACAATAAATGATTTTCCTGTTTTTCTGTTGTTTAATTGTCTAGTATTTTTCAGTGTTATGGATTTTTCCAGTATTGTCTGTCACTGTCTTGGAGCTTAAGTGGCACTCCCTTTGTCAGTGACACTGCACATTTCCATTAGACGTAGCTAAATGTTTTATTCTTGTTCATTCAGCACTACAGGCAGCACATGCCCATGGCCTACACGGGCATTGTCACATACGTAGTTATTTTACATAATTTCACTCAACTTTTTACTGTTGGCGTATAGAAAAATGGACTGTTAAACAATTATTAGAGATGGTAGAAACTATACATTTTGCTGCTGGGTGTTTGCGCAATTCATGCGTAAATGTAGAACTCCATTCAAGAATTTCCCAGCCTACGAGTCTGATGGTTCTTGTTAAGGGAGAACTTTTGATTGGCTGGTTTGTGCTTGGGACAAGCCCACTCTAAGTATGTGCAATATGAATGGTCGAGAGCTGGTGGGACACGCCTGTGCAGTGACGTAGCTGGGCGCAGGGACCGCCGCAGCCTGTAGTGATGATGTTGTGGATATGCATGCCGATGAGACCTCTCCCAGAGTTATCTAAAACATAAAATCATCTGTCGAGGGGTCACCACGCATGGAGTTAAGCTCAGAGCGAGTGGTGGCAACACTTGAAATGTCGCAGGTAAAAAGCCAAGACCACGGGGCTTTTAACAGTGATGTGGACTATGAGAGCTTGCCACCTCATGTCCCTGTGACGATACACATGACAGCGGGAGCTGTGGCTGGTATTCTGGAGCACACCGTGATGTACCCCGTGGACTCTGTCAAGGTAACGCACTCATCAGCAACAACACTGTCCTCTAGAGTCAGTTCTTAGTCAAGCTTCAAAGCATAGCTAACCTGTTTGGCTCAGGCATCTTTGAAGCTATAACAGGAAACCACTAAAGCTGCCCATCCTTGGTTAGCTCCAGTGTTAGCCAATTTACGCACGGCAGCACGATCACTGGCACTACTGTTGCTCATACTAGTTTATCCGGTTGTTAAAAAGAGGAGACGTAATAATAACAGACAGCAAGCTAAATTTCATTCACTTTGCATAACTTTATGTAACTCTCTATTGCCAGTATTTAACTGAGGCAGCCTATAATTGTTTTAGCCTGAAAGTGGCTATATTTATGAAGGCAAAATAACAAAATCCATGTCAATCTGGCTTCAGTTTGAGATATAAAGAGTAACTTGGAGTAAACGTGTTTATGAAGGTCAAGTGTTGGCGTGGAATATATACAGACAGGCTGTCTGACTGACCTCTAATGCCCTGAGCAGAAAATGCAAAAATATAGTGTCTCATTGGAATTGTAACACGTTGCACCTGTGCTTCAGTAAACGAATTAGACATAATAATAATTGTCAACACGTCGTTTAACCAAGTGACACATTGTCTTGTGCAGTAGATAAAGCACTTGGATTAGTCAGGGAGTTGTTAGTTTTATATTTTGGGTGGTCTTATCAGTGTTCTGCACATTTCGAATCCGCCTGTGGGTGTGAATATGTATACACCTCATTGTAAAATAAAGACACTCACTCACAATTGTATTCTCAAGTTCATTCTCAACCTCAATCTGTATGTGTGTGTGTGTATGTATGTATATATATATATATATATATATATATATATATATATATATATATATATATTATATATATATATTTTTTTTTTTACATTACTTTTAATTTAAGGAAAAATTATAAGTCTGTATCAGCTGTAGCAACTTTGAGAGCCCTGAGTGTATGTGTCTCTGATTTGTTTCTGAAAACAATGTAGCAGATCTCACTCAGTTGTCCTCCCCAAGTGATTTCCTTAAGTCATCATCACAAACTGATAATGCATCTTACATTAATTGTCTTTTTTTTGTTTAAGACACGGATGCAGAGCCTGCAGCCAGATCCAAATGCACAGTACAGAAGTGTGTATGAAGCACTGAAACGCATTATCAAGACTGAGGGCATCTTCAGACCGTTTCGGGGCCTCAACATCACCATGTTGGGAGCTGGACCAGCACATGCTCTGTACTTTGCGTGCTATGAACGAGTCAAACGCCCGCTAAGTGATGTCATTCAGAATGGGCGCAACAGTCATTTAGCAAACGGTACGAGATTCTGCATCTCATTGTACTTAAATATTGTTTATACATTAACCTAGAATAACCCTTGTATATTCCCTGCCCTTTTAAATCAATCTAATCTGTTTTGTTTCACCAGAGCTCAGAGGCTCAGTGCTCTATGATGTGTCACCTGTTCCTTCTCTTCAGCTCACCTTTCTCCCTCAGCTCTCACATATGTCCTCCACTGTGCTCATCTGACTCTTGCTTCCCTAAACCGCATCTCATGTTCAGGCTCATCTCTTGTGCTTTCTATGGAAACTCACAGCTAGCCCTGGCTCACTCACCCCGTGCCCTCAGCACAACTTCCCCTACTAATTTTTCTAACTTTGCTGTGTGTCTCATAAACCAAAATCCCTCTGTTGGTGTCACAAATCTACTGTGTTTAAACCGGTTTTGTGGTCATGTAATACCTTTTTAAATGTACTTATTTATATACTGCTTTTCACAGGTGTTGCAGGTAGTGTGGCCACAGTTCTCCATGATGCTATAATGAATCCAGCTGAAGGTAAATCATTTATGAAAATAGTTAAAAATAGTTTTACCATTATTATCAACTATTACAAAACATTTTCAATTCTGTTGGTTTAGTGGTGAAGCAGAGGATGCAGATGTACAATTCTCCTTACCGGGGTCTTTGGGACTGTGTCCAAACCATCACCCGTACAGAAGGGATTGGGGCCTTCTACCGCAGCTATAGCACTCAGCTGACCATGAACATTCCCTTTCAGGCAGTCCACTTCATCACATATGAGCTAATGCAGGAGCAGCTGAACCCTGACAGACTCTACCATCCAGGCTCTCACATAGTGTCCGGTGCAGCAGCAGGGGCTGTGTCCGCCGCTGTAACCACTCCTTTGGATGTGTGTAAAACATTGCTCAACACTCAGGAGAACGTGGCACTCAACTCCATGAACATTAGTGGGCACTTGTCAGGCATGGCTAATGCCTTTAGGACCGTGTACAGGCTTGGGGGCATGGCAGGCTTCTTTAAAGGCGTCCAAGCAAGAGTTATATATCAAATGCCCTCGACAGCCATCGCCTGGTCTGTGTATGAGTTCTTTAAATACTTCTTAACAAAGCAGCACCTGGAGGAGGACTAGGTCTCTTTCAGGAGGAAGTATCTTTTTGAAACAAGGAAGGACCATTCTCACTCTGTGGTAGAGGTGTGTTACAATGGCCCTCTTTTGTTCACACTGAAATTCTTTGTGTGGCACAACCAACTTTATGCAACATAGAAAATGTCAAAAAGATGAAAGCCATTTTGTTCCTCTTTTTAGTAAATGCATGATATTGATAACACACTTTCAATGTTTGGTTAAAACTGGAGCATATTGACAAATTTCTATAGTTTATTGGTGGAAAGTTTTATTTATTTTTATATTTTAAGAATTCTGTTTGCTTGTATGATTCCATTGTGTATTTATAATGGACTATGAGAACACATTCCAATGTGTTCTCAGATGGACCAGTGGCAGTTTTTAAACTACTACATAAACCACCGAGGTGGCTTTGCCTTTATGTTGAGAATCTGTTGTAACAATAATTGTCTGCACAGATACTCAAGGACAGTGTCCCCCGATTGACCCAATGAGAGTACAGTGCTTTGTGGAGGCACCACACCATCTGTTATAATGACCTTTCTGATTTGTATTACATCCACTGAAGTAAGCTGTGACAGGGTTCACATACTACATTAAATATATAAAAGTTTTTAATGCTGTCCACCTTAGTTTCATTTACAGCCACTTCCAGCATTTTTATCTCTCACTGAGTTGTGAGGACATTCCTGTATATATTAGTGTTATTCAGAAAAAAGTACATCTATTTATTTACAAGAATAGAGTTTATAGCAATAGCAGAGATTTTGCACCAAATGGATCATGCTAATATTTTATACATTATCAAGTTGCTCTTCTCAAGAACTTGTAAATTTTATGTCTATTTTGATCTATTAGAATATAAAAACATTTCAACATCTCAGCACCTGAATAGTTCATAATCATTAAATTTTCAGTATGTTGGAAAAATATATTTTACATGCTTTGATTATAAAGCTACCGCCTTTTAACAAAAGCTTTTTAATTATTCCTTTTCTTATGGGAAACAGTTTTTATACCATGTTTATATATAAACCACTTGGTACTGATATTGCTTCTGACCTGTCATTTTTATCAAAACACATAGACACTAGTCTATGTGTATGTGTGTACAATGGTGTTTATGTTGATTGTATTTGATTATGAAGTTATCTGCTCAGCCAAAAGGAGATGCTATAGATGTGAATGTCTATCAGCCTACCGCTAGAAGCGCACAAGGTTGAGGTCACTTTTGAAGTGCCATTTTGTGTACAATAATGCAATATCTATTGTAAATAAATTCTATAGTTTGTGACACTGGACATTAATAAAAATGAAAGTGCATATAATTGTGGTATCCGACTCATTATTTATGTAGGAACGTGATACGGCCACTAGGGGGCTGTATTGTGCAACTGTTGATTTTGGTTGCCTATGTCGTGGTTTTGTAGCCTATTCGAGTCCCTACGATGTTGCATTTAATTTATAATTTTAATTGTAAATAAAATACAAAACTTCAGAGGCTAAAACTAATCGTTTGCAAAATTTATAAATCGTAAATTCACCAATAGCTTGTAATCAATCATGATCCGACAGCACGACGAGTCGGTCGGAATCATGGGCCCGAAGCAACGGAGGAGCCCGGGAAGACAGGCCTCATAAAGGTGTTATATATCGTACACTAAAATGTTGTCTTATAAGCTCAATGTTGGCTTTAGTAGTTGTAGTTTTACTTGATTACCTTTGCAGATGCCAAAATATTTTTGCCTGATCACCGTTTAGATTTGGATATAAAATGACCACTTAGGAAATTGTACTGAAATGACCTCCTTGATGAGATCACTGCTCACGCCAGCCAGACCCATTGTTCACACGCTTGACTCCATTTTTGTGAAATGTAGGTAGCACTTTTCAGGTGAGTAGGGTTCTGTTATTATGCTTTTAAAATAATATTCACGTAGATCTTATCGAATTAGACCACAGAGGATTAGTTTATCAAAGTTTGATTAAAATGTAAAAGAAAAAACTATAAGCATATGCTTAGGCTATATTAATTTGATAAGTCTGGCTACAAAAAGGCAGAGTTCAAAATATATTCAATAATATAATAACAGCATTGCAATAATTCCCATCTGTATTCTTTATTTGAATCCCCATTAGTGTCCATTAAGTTGCTAGTCTTCCTGGGAGCCATAAAAGGGTCATTCACTACCACTATCTCACTGAATTTAGTTTTTTCTTATCTGTTCACGTGCATATTTCCTGCTTTTTGTTCAGTTGTTTATATAAAGATGCCAAAAGTGGAACTGCAATTTGAAATGGTACATGATGAGGACTCATTTAGACAGATTTGACTGTAAGATGGAGACTGAACTTTTTTCAAACCTGCTCAAGGACACGTACACTGATGGTGTAATGCCACTGTCCTACAATGTTTACTTATAGCCCTTCTCCACCTAAAGCATGTTTATCTGAAACATGCAATAAACAGACCCTCAGCCCTTGTTCTCTGCTCTTGTCATGTTTTAATCTCAAGTTAAACGTCCTGGTTCATTTTGATACCACGGATAAGAAGAAGACTGGACAAGCATTGTTTAACATTGCTAAGTATGGATGCAGTGCTGATGAAAAACGATATACAGTTGGAAAGATGGTAACATGGGAGATCAAATTACACTATAGAAATAAGTTTATGAGAAACCTCCACACATCTTATCTGCCCCTGTGAAATTGTCAGCTAGTCATGGCATATTGAGTCAATGACAAAGGCAGTTTTTATGATTTGCTTTGGTTTTCTCTGTTATCTGTTTGGAGATCTCGATGTTTTTCAAAGCATCATTGACCACCTTGAAGAACAGCACCAGGGCTCCAGGCTCCACCATACTTATTGCAGAATGAGTTCTGGTTAGTTACCTGATCATTTTTTAATGGACAGGTTTTAAACCTACCTAGACAAACACTTTTTATGAAATGGTCAGGAATCCACTAAAAATGTAATTTAACACTATTTCAGAATGGGACAGAATGTTACATTTCTGGTTGTTACAAAAATTGATTCATTTAAGTGCTGTTGAACGGCTCTTTTTTTTTTAATCATATTTTATTTAGTTCATAACCTTGTTTAAATGTAACTCGTAAAGTGAAATTGCAAATAAAGGAAAGATACGAGAGGAGGTTATTTTTTATTTGCTGTACTTGTGAACAAACTGTATTTTGGTTGGAGGAAGTGCAAGTTATTATAATACTAGGTACAATAACTGTGCCTCTTGTAACCTTAAGCCTCTCCTTTATCTGATGAGCCTGACTGTGTATGGCTGAGACACACTGTCAGATTCGTACAGCCGTCATAACAGATGCTATCTGAGCCCTCTTCATGTCTAATTACCTCTTTGCCCTATAACCATAAAATCAGGAGAGCTTTTACATAAGGCATACATTTATTTGCGGAGGTTTTGGCTGCTTTACCTTAATTGCTTTATGTGTATTGTTTCAGTGAAATTTGTCAAATATGACAATGTAAGATTGTCTTTTCAGTCTAGGTTTTCTCCTAATTTACCAGTATAATCTTGCAGATGTGCCTGGCCCTGAAAACTTCTTTTATGAGTCAACCAGGTGATCAGTCTGTTTAAAACATCTAGTGAAAAGATAAATCACATGTAGGGGATATATGCATACTTTATTTTACATTTACAGGTCTCCTTCACACAACATACACACTTCCAACAGTATGAATCTTGCTAAAGAACTGGTTCAGTTACTATAAGAGAAGACATGGCTTGATCTTCACTAAGTGTCTATGTCACAACCCTCAAAAACCAAATCTTTTCTATCTAATCGCATACTAAACTCTTCAAAGAATTTCAATCATTCTACTGCCCACATTTTATCTGAGCGCGCTTTCTGAAATCTTATCAACCATATTTTTGTTTAGAGCTCTACAGGGAAAAATGTTGCATTGAGGAAGTATTTAAAATCTGTGTTTTGTTTTTGTTTTTTTTGTTTGTTTAACAATACAATTTTTTTTTTTTACAATAATTATACAGAATAATTTAAATATTGAATAATTATATACATGCATTGTTATTTTGTGCTTAAAACCTTTGGAGGGTTTCAATTAAGTCACGATAAGATAATATAATTGTTTTACCACAAAATAAAAATGAATTTCTACAATAACGTTAGGCCCCATGGGCCACCATAGTCCCAAGGGTATGGACTGCAGTGATAGGTTTTGCCGAAAGATGTGAGCAGAGTAGCTCTCACCAAATTGTCTCTCTGGAGCATCTCGTCAACTTTACACATTTCTCTTGAAAAGTCAGTTTGCTGCTTGCGCTTGGTCTTGTACCTGCGGTTCTGAAACCAAATTTTCACCTGGGTCTCAGTTAGTCTCAGAGCACTGGCTAAGTGAGCCCTCTCTGGGGCAGACAGGTATTTCTGATGGTGGAACTTCTTCTCCAGCTCCATCACTTGAAGGTGAGTGAATGCCGCTCTAGAGCGCTTCTGTCTGCCATCAGGAGAGGGGCTGGACACCTCAGAGGAGCTCGGACAGCGGACCTCCATGAGGTCTGTAAGAAGGGCAACACAGAATAAAAACTCACCTATTATTATTTCACTTTTATCAGACATGTCTGTAAAGAAATGGTAAGTTAGGTTAAGTTAGCATGTCTGAGTAGGTCTTAATTCATCTTACAATATAATTTATGCTGTGAAGGAACTCACCTGTTTGCATCTCACTGGTGCTGTCTGAGTTACAATCCTCTGATATCTGCTCCTCTGTCCACTGTGAACATCTCTCTGTCTTTGGTAAGCACCATTTGTTTTTAAATTCTGTGTGGTCCTTGAGCGCTAGAATATCCTCTATGAGGAAAGAAGTCATAGGTTTAACTTGAGCAGACATCTCCAGCTCTAATGCACAGAGTGCCCTGAGTGCTGCAGGCTGCTGTGTCTCCACTCAAACCAGCAGTCAGAATTTATACAAGTGAAGGGGCGGGACAGTCATGGACAGGGGAGGAGGTGGACACATTGACAGCTTTTACTTTGATGGCTTATGTGTACTTTTAATCATTGCTCTTGCCCAGACCATCAAAATGTAAAATTATACATTTGAACATGGTGAAGGTGAGTGGTCAGACATGGCCCTCTGATTGACACATCCTTTCTCCAGACTATTTATGTGGTCTCCACGGTTCACGTCGAACACTTTTTGTTGTTTGTTTTAGGGCTCTGTTACAGAGTTACAGGGTTTGTATAGAGGTATGCAGGAATTTCTGGAACATGCTTGGATTTTTGTAATTGTGTTTGGGTTGAAAAATGCTTGAATTGCAAGTGCTACTATTGATAATGTCTATTACTTTTAGTAATTGTTTGTTTCAATTCAAATAGACTATAAATTGCATAGATATGGTAGTTTTAACAGTCATACATTTCAATAATATTGAATGTGTTATTACTATAAAAGATGGAAAAATATATAAAATATCTTTAAAAAATGTTTTTGTTCTCCACCTCCCTCCTTCCTTTCAAATACCTTGCAGGCTCTCTTTAGACATTAGTTGCTGTCTTGTCAACACAGCATTTAGATTATCACAATGATATGGCTCACCTGGCTCTGACTGTCTGTACCACTGTCTGCTATTTTAACTCTTGACTAATATACATTTCAGGCCTTTGCTATACTTTATATTACAAAAATGAATACCACATCAACAAACCTGAAAAGCCTATTTAATTCATTATGTTTTAAAAGTCCCTTTGTGTAGAATTGTGCTGTTGTTAATGCTCTGACCTTTTAGCCCAGGAAGATATTTGTCAGCGTGTGATTTGTGTCAGTTATGTTTTCTCCGCGTTGTTGCTCAAATAGGTGCAGTGCTATCAATTGTCTCTTGTTTTTCTGTCATAACAATGTCCAACCACAGATTGTTCAGAAGATTGCTAGACTTAGATCTCACTGTATCTTTTGACTTGGTTATTACACAATGTTTTACACCTGTGCATGTCTTGTACAATATGAGAGTGGGCCTATTGTGATTGTTGTCAGTAAAACTAGTTCCACTACTTTTCTGTACGTAAGTATATATTAACACATGAATGTTTTCATTCACAAATCTTTCTTGTGAACAAAGTAAAAGCTTCAGAACTGTAACAAAATTGTAAAATTAAAAGTCTGAGAGATAAAATAATATTATTTGTTATAATGTAAAAGCACCTCACGTAAAAGTAGCATTTGGAATTTGGGAAGAAACATCTAAATATCCAAAAAGAAAAATAATAAAAACATGGAGAGACACATTTTAAAATATATTTAATCTGATGTATTATTTTTTTATTGTTATTTTAACATGTTTATAATGTAATATCTTGATGCCTGTTTATAACACGTTTACAAATGTACTTAAATGAACGAGAATGATTGATAAACTACAAGGCAGCTTTTATACCAAAAGGCATGTTATTACAAACCCTTATCATCGTCACAGCGTGATATATTCATCATCCCCATACAACGATGGTTTCATAGTTGAATCTTAATTTGTTGTCACTTCCATAGCTATGATGATTTTGTAAACTAAATCTCGCTTTATCGCATCTCCTCAAGTGTCGTCAGTCTCCTCTCAGTCTACCACCCCTGTCTTATCTGGACATTACGCTCCTCAATCCGCGCCTCGGGAAACCTGCCACACGTCTAATTCAGAGGCTACAGGTCGCTTTGTGGTTCATTTAGTTTGTAGAAGATATGCTATTGCATAGTGTTTTGCATCAGATGTGTCAGTGATTATTCGTGATTGACAGGCTTGGACGGGTCTTAACATCTGCGTGATTGAAAGGTGAAGTGAGAAGTTAGAGAGCCACTCAGTCTGCGGTTTTGTTTACTAAGCAAAGTTGGGACAGAACGAGCTCCTCAGCCTTATCTGCAGATTAGTGAATGGGACAATAATGAGCTGAGTTTGATAGTGCAATCTTGCAGCTCAGCTGTCCATTAACGCTGTTTGATGGATGTCTCGGATAAACATCGGTCACTGTCAAAAGGTTTGTGTTGCTTCATTAAGCACATTATTATGGCTTCTGCAACGTATTTACATGAGTACCATTTGCATAGTCTCTGCTATTCTTTTCCACTCGCAAAGGCAATGCAATGACCGCATTACGCACCGAGCATCTCCAAAGAAACAAGGTGGATTTTTATTTCGTCGTTTTTTCATTATTATACATTTTAAATAATTAGATTAGGCTACAACTTTTTAATTGTCTATTGTCTGGTGGGCTAGTAACTGGCAAGTAAGAAGTACAAATCCTATTTTCTTTGGTTTACATTTTTAGCTCACTGTTCGCGTTAACGTTTGCTAAACGATGTTATTTATGAGCATATAATAAAGCTAGTCCCATTTGTAAAATGTGGCTTCACATTTCTGTCATAATGTAGTTTATTTGGCTGACAAGTACATCTTAAAGATTGCAAGATTGGAACAAAGAACAGGGGTATAGACTATAAATTGATATAGTTGTTTTTAATTGTAATGGTTAAAAAGTGTAAAATACATAGACTATGTACAGTCAGCTTTGATGTCTTCGACGAGATATGAGTGGCTATCACCAGCCTCTCACGCTGTGTAAGTGTCTGTGATTGTTGATGGGCCCTCCGAAGTTCACCGCCTCCGAAATCTGTTCGTGCATCCCGGGGCTAGGCGTCGTGAGAGCCCTGGAGCACTGTGGCACACTGTGGTAAGTGTAACTATAAAAGCCCCCGTTCCCATAATGCATCAAAGAGTTATAATGGCCCAGTGCCACGTTAAACGCTGTGGAGTGGGATCCATCGCTGCATAGCTTCCCGTCCCTCACGAGCACCGGCACGGCCACCCTTCTCGGTGCGCTTGAGAAGCCCGCGAACTCCAAAGACTGGTCCTGGCGCTGACGTTTGCATTTGTACCTCCGGTTCTGGAACCATATCTTGACTTGTGTGGACGTGAGTTTGAGCACTTGTGCCAGCTGCTCCCGCTCCGTGGCGGACAGGTAGCGCTGCTGTGTAAAGCGCCGTTCGAGCTCGGACACCTGCACCTGCGAGAAGAGCACGCGGGGTTTCCTGCGCGCGCGACCTTTACTTTCCAGCGTCTGGACAGTGTCCGGGGAATTGTTCTGAGAATTGACATCTGTGCAAATATAAAGATAATAATCACTTTATATTCAGGCATGTACAAAGACCAAATTAGTAATTCGTTTTATGCTCATAACAGCTCCTCTTGCTTTACCATGCAGACAGTCGATAGCAAATCAAGTTTTACGCATCCCAAATTTTACCTGATGGTACCTGTCTTGTAACACATAGCCTCTTTAAAGGCAAGAGATTAGTTAAATATTATTGGTTACAAGGAGCTACATGGTTAATTAACTTCATGTCGTTCGTATCCTTTTGGTAGGCTATAGGCCTTAAACGTCGTTCCCACGTCTGTCTCAAATTGCTCTTATTGTGTGTGTTCGTGTAAATAGCCAAATAATTACTGTATGCTATTTGAGAAAACAAACAAAAACGCACAAATAAACAAAAATAAATTAACATACTTGAATTGCTTACCAAATGTCTGTATGTGGTCTTGAGTTGATATTTTTTGGAAGGACGTGTTTTCATACATCTCCGTCGGACACGGCCTTGGCTGCAACTCGTAAAAATCATTGGGCGAAGTACGATGCACGTGATGGATTATTGGAACGACTTGGTCTGTCATTAGGAGCTCATTTTCAAAATCTTGTTGTAAATTTAAAATATCCTTTACAGAAAAAGGTGTCGATATTGTTGCACCGGAATACATCCCAGTTACCAGAGAGTTACGAATTTCGGCCTTTACGCACGCCGTGGATGAGAGGTGCTGCGTTCTGGGCTGTATGTCCTCTGACTGAGTGCTGTCAGGGTTTGTAAAGTGGGTAATCAAGGGTCCACGAGATCAGGGTTAAGATATCTGTCACCCTCCTTCAACAATACGAGCCAACACCCAGTACACAGCGTCTTCTCATCTTTCAAGATCAGCTCTCCCAGCACGCTTTTTTCTCAACAAGATGCCACGTTGTTCTTATTAAAGATAATTTAAATAATGAAAACACAACTATCCTAAACTTACCCGTGCTTTGATCAGCGTCGATCCTGCTTTTTGAACCATCAGTAAATAAACCCAAACTTGCAATTGCAGGCTGTAATACGAACAAGTATTTAATCAATAGGTCTATAGTTATGATAGCCAGTATTAATGTATGCTATTAAGACTTGGTCTAGTGGACCATTCATCCAACTAATGTCCAGCTAGAGCATCTGCTAGGGCGCCTGGTCAGCCCAGTAAAGCGCTGTACCTCGGAGGTTGAGTGATCTTCGGTGATGTTGAACAGCCTTGCCATCAACATTGTTTTCCAGACTCATTATTAGTGTTAGAGGCCACAACAAACAGTAACATTACACCTGATGTTGTGGAAGTGGAGAGGCCGCGGCGCCAGGCGGTAATGCATGACTGAGGCCGCGACGCGCGTGGGTCCGCACACAGGAACAAGGCCAGACACGGGCTGTCCCCCTGTCCAGGCAGGAAGATCTATAGGCCTTAAGAGCACCCACTTCTAATGGGACATGTTTGTTTGACAGCTGTGTATTTAACATTCAGAATAGTCTTTTAACTGTTCAAGTCTAAATAGCATTATGGAGCTATAATTTAACCATTGACCCATAATGTATCCCGGTATTATATGAAAGTAACCAGAAACATTATTGCAGACAGCTATTTTCAAATGCAATATAAAATGATTTTCATCAGCCAAAAATCATTCTAGTCAAACACCCATTTTGAAACGGTGCTTGTCAGTGCTCATCTCAAAAATAAACAAATAGGCTTTTAACAAACATTTTCTTCATTTTATATATATATATATATATATATATATATATATATATATATATATATATATATATATTATATATATATATATATATATATATATATATATATATATATATATACATACATACATACATACATACACACACACACACACACACACACACACACACACACACACATTGGGTTAGTTTAAATCTACAATCTCTGCATCTCTACATGTTCAGTCTCTACATCTCTACAGTTTGTAATTAGTCACTCAAAGTAACTGAAAATCTAAACTTTTAAAAACATTATATTTTCCAATTGTCACTTAATGTCAAACAAACTCACCAGATAGTCTGCTGTCATAGACTCTGAAACCTGAACTTCAAAAGTGGAGGCAAATGGAGGCCCAGAGAACTGTTTGACACCTTGGGGGTTTGTAGGTGTCTAGTTTGATGGCTAAATTACTTCATCATAATCAGTGTTCAGAGATTGCTCATGGCGGTGCCCTGTGTATTTTACTTACTCTTCGTGTATTGTCCAAACTTACCCCTCTGCTTCCATCATTTGTTGCTTGGCTGTAATTTAAGATGCTTGTTAAGTTAAGTTTGCCACAAAATACCCCTAATTCATCATGCATGAAAATAGATGGGTGATGGCTCCTGAAAGAGGAGAAAGAGGGACATCACAGCATATGTAACTAAACCTGCCTCAAGCCAATACTGTAAAATGTACATCAAGCTGGGAGGGACAATGAAAATCTCATCAGCAGAAGTGGGCCATTTTTCTTGTTTTTGTCATTGCTTATTCAGACCAACCTCCTAGAGTATAAAATTTGGATAGGTAGGTTTACAATCAGTATGTATCTCTTATTTGGATATATTTTTATAATTTTATAATCTTAATAGATATATATTAGTCTTCCATTCAACCCTTACTTGAAATAGTGTCGCAAGAGTTTTTTTACAACCTAAAAATAGAATACAGGCTATGCATAAAAAAAATAAAAATGTTGTTTGTTTTTATGGGGCCACCACTAGATGTCTCTGCATCACTATGGGAACTCAAAAGGCATCACTGGCACTCACACACTCCAATGGAAAATGACAACTATTCTTTATTACCTCTTCATGACTGTTGTGTCTGTGCATATTTTGTACAGTTTGTGTGAAAATCTCACGGTGTCTGCTGGTACTTGAATACCTTTCTACTTACTTAGTTTACATTTCAGTTAACAGGAAATCCTTGGTGTGCAAATGCATACGAAATGTGCATATACAACAAACTAAGGTTTTGCACTGAACTATGCCTTGACAATCCTGTTAGATGCAGGCCTTAGACACTTAAAGATAATTACTGAAAGAGATTCATTTCAAGACATATCAGGCTTCTTCGGTATAATCAGAAACTGCTGTATTTCATCTTTTTCATGCTGTGTCTGTGCCACTCTGTTCAGCAAAAATTTTATCTAATTTTCTTAAGCCGTCCTTGGGTATTTCCCCACAGAAATGAGGGGAGAGTGAATGCTGGTAGGATTGGATCTAATCTCTCAGTGTGCTTCATACCCCATTTCACTGCACATCTAATTTGTCACACTACTGATCAGTATGCCACAAGTTTGATTCAGAAGAGGAAGACGTAATGAACATAAGACTCCATTGGAGAAGCTTTAGTCGTACCACACCAACCACAATGCTTTGTTCATTTGCCCCAATAAACATATGTATGCAGTGTTGAATGCAGAATATGTTATGAACAGGCTGTCTCACACAATTCCTACATTCATTCCTCAGGGGACCTTAAAGTATTTGTATCTTTTGTTTGAGGCTGATTGTAGTTTTTACATAGTGCAATCTGCTGTGGCTCATGACCTGCGACAATGAATTAACACAAGCAGATGGAATGAATTGCAACTGTATAATGGTTTTCTAATTTGATCATTTTTTCATTATTGCTGTGTGTCTCTCATTGTCAGGGTTGCCATACTCTCGGCAGAGGTCCAACAGTGTGAATAGACAGGGTCAAAAATCTGCTTCTATGTTTCCTGGCAACAAGATGTTTTCTGTGTCAGAGGCAGTGAATTGCTTTGAAAAGTTACCCAGTGCTTCACTAACACATATGTAAGACTGGCAAAGAAGATGTAGGAAGCTAACTGACCATGTGGCTAAATCACAGCTTTGATTATGTTCTCCACTGATGAGTGGATATGTCTTTATAGAGGACAGAAGCTGCTGCATCACCTATCCACGATGATGGCAGTGTGGTGCGGAGAATGAAAAAGCCCTTCAGGACTTGTCTCTAAATAGGCATGAAATTATATCTCCTTCTGACTGAGATTAGCGTCTATTGAGCCTCTTGCGTTCGGCCTCCTCTTTTCCTCAGGCTCTCCCAGCACACAGGCACTTTGCAGTTTCAGCTCCTTCATGTTCAAGTTTAGCACAAACTACATTTTCATTTGAAGGTGCTGTTCGCTGTCATCCATGTCTTGTCTTTAGGGTCCTGCAGGATTCGTCACACCCACCTAACACTGACACTGTGGTGTAACCATGACAGGGTGTATTAGTGCTCCAGAATCACACCATTAAATCAGAGAAACACAACTGACAGGTGGAGGAATCCATCAGAATATTAGTGGCACATTTAGTTTATATCAGTTCAACTGATATCCTTTACATCCTTGAGCCTTTAAATTCATAATAATAATTAATGGGGACATCCATTCTAATATCAATACCAAATGATGATGGAACATATGATTTTCAAAACCTAATCCCAGCCCTAATCTAAATGTAATCCTTCAATTTTTGCTAATTTTATCATGTATCTGATGTAAATTACTATACTGATTCCATTGTTTTAAAAATGAATTTGTATTTGTAAATGTGACATGATGGAGCTAATCACTGATAATGCCACTATAAAACCACTATTTAATTATGTTGGCCCAAAACCTTTAATCATAAGATTTTATTCATATTCATTCAAAAGACAAGCCTCTTGTGTCTCCATATATCTGGTATCGGATTTTGCAAATATTTAATGCTAGTATCAATGTATCAAAGTATCAATAACAGGACTAAAATCTGGACTGGTGCATCTCTACTTTCTGTGCCTTCAGAATATGGAGTATTGACTGAGCATTACTAGGTTGTATGTTAGTGTGAAGTATATGTAAAAACAAAAAGAAAAAAAACCCTATAAAAAAGTTCAGATAAATATTTTATTTCAGTTCAGCAAAAGACACATGACTGATGTGTTTTTCAGTACAGAGAAAACCCCAACATATACACAGTATGGGTATATATGTCTATGGGCATATATTAAAGTGCAAGTGATTCACAAGGGTCAATCATGCGTTACATAGCATCTGTATCAGGAACATCTGTGATCTCCTGAAAAGCTTCATAATAAAATAACTCACTTATAATATATAGATTTATATATATTCATATGAATACAAAATAAACTTTACTAGTCACCGAAGCTTTGATTTAGTTTAAGCACAACATTTATCTATTTCAAGTCTTGAGAGGAGAGAGTACCATAAGTGCCAGAAGTGTTTTTAACTGGTTTCACCAAGTCACCATGGGGGCAATTTAACAATCCTGTACCACTTATCTACAACAGTAACAAAGTAAACTCTTTGTTCCAGTTTGTGTTTTTGCCTAATTTCCTTCATGGTCAGTAAACCTGGGCATGCTTTCATCATAGACAGACATTCATTTACAAATACATTCTCTGAGAATCTGTTACAGTTGTCTTAGTGGAGAAACAGTCAATTTGCCCTAGCCAAAATATGCTTGTTACAAGGAATGCATATAGAAAATAAATAAAAACATGAGTAGACATTAAATGTTCCCAAGCACGATGTGGACTGGTTTCTGAGATTACTGTGTGGCCACAGCAGAAGGACATCCATAACATCACACAGAAGTAACACTTAGCAGCAGCTAATGGGCTTTGGAGTGTCCCATGGACTATCCCATACAAACATGGATAAGTCTGCCATGACCCTTCAGGATGCAAGATATACCAATGGATTTCCATTCACTGCCAAAATAAAACAGGCTTGAATTGCACATGCACTCCATGAATAAATGCCCTTTATAGTGGTTAAGATGCAAAGTGCATATTTAACAAAAATATAAGCTAAACACACAACAGTGTCACTGGAGCTCATGTCTTCAAACCTCCTCCATAGTTATCTTTTTTTCACTCAAATGAGGCAAAGCAGAAAAGAAACATTTGGGAGAATCAGCAGAAAATGAAAAGCTTTCAGGGTATACCGGAAACACAGCATCAGCTGGCAATGGACAAAGGAAAGATTCATTTCTGTGTCACTGTGATCCTTGTATGTGAGATTATTGCATAGTTTGGAATTCTTAACATAGCTATAGATACTGAGAGAAACAGTCTTTTTTCCTGGCCATAACATGACAGTAAGTCAACTTACTTTTCCCAGAAGATCATTTTCAGGCCCATTACATTGTATGTAATATATCAAATGAATTTGAACTATTCAGTATCACATTATTTGTGCAACATCACATCAGATAAATAGCTAAGGCCAATCCCCAAATGTGTAAAATAAACACCAGCATCATTACCAGTTCTGTGACTTTGCTCTTTTAATGATTGTCTCAAATGTTGAAAATGTTTTCTTTTTTCTTTTTCTTTTTCTTTTTTTTATTCATTCCCTTTCATGGTCACAGCATCCAGTCCTTCTCCGCCATTTGAACTCTTTCAATTAATTTTAATTTAGGTTTTTGCACAGGATGATCTGGTGGCCTAAAACACCCATTGAAACCATATAGGCAGATGAACAAAAACAACAAATTTTGAGAAATACTTATTTTCCCTGACTGAAGTGCTTCCAAACCATTACTTAACTAACTAAATCTGATGCTGGTGTTTGCATTGTGTGGTCATTTACTGATGAGACTGTGCACATTGCAAAGATGCAGTCCTGATGCTTTTTGATTAGTGTAATTAAGTAGCATTGTCTTTAGTTATGGTCCTGTAAGTAGATCACTGACTTGAATGACCATCCGTGTTCCCCTATGGCCAGCACAGAGTCATGACATGGGTCCCATTCAGTCATCAGAAAGTCAGCTCTTATTTTTGGCATCTGTAAACCAAATTAATCTACAATAATGCATACAAATTAAACAGACATTAAATAATATAGTAGGAAAATAAATATAATCCTAACAAGGCTTTTAAAATAGTCATTCCTCATCTTGATGTATATGTGCTTCACCACAGAGAGTGATGGTCAACAGTCCCAGGAAATGGCTGCTCTATTCTCACTGGTGAACATGCTAACAAGCTACCACATATACACAACTGCAATAAACATATAGATTCAGTACAACTAACATATTATGCAAAAAGCTCAACAGTCTTACGCATTACAAGTGCCTGGATAAACATATGCAAAATTGACTTTTCCTGATGCATAGATTTGGCCATGCCTCGATCAATCAATGTGTGCAGTTTTTGATTTGTAACGCATGACCATGGCTACTTCTAGCATCAGAATAAACAGACAGTTGTAAGTGCTATAGCTATTGACGATTTTGGTATTATATGAATAGCATTCAGGGCAGTTTGAAGTTTTTGGTCAGTTAAAGCAGCCCCTAAAAGGTTGCCATCAAAGACATACAGACCACACTCTTTTAGAGGGCTACTAATGGCTGTCTAAGATTATATAGTTTACAGTACATTTAGTCTAGAAGGTTTAAGTTATCATCAAAATGACATGAAATTCATTTTCACATGCTCACAATTGACAGAACGTATCACTGAAATATTAGATCAACCTAACACTAAATTGAGTTACTATCAATGAATAATAAATCTATTATCTATAAATGTCTTTTTTATGGACAGAAGTTCAAATCATGAAGTTTTTCACTTTTAACACATGAAAATATCAACATATTAGGCTGTTATTTCTTGAATGAGAAATAGGCATTAGCACAAGTTTAACAGCCACATGTTTAACATTAACTGAGGAGGACATATTTGGGTGGGGTAGAACTATCAGATTCTGATCTCTTTATGGTCATTACCTAGTGATGCATATTCAAGAAACGTCCAGAAAAGCCGAGGATGGGTTTGGCAGCTCCTGGACAGGAGCTTGTTGATGGTTGCACAGGAGGCAGTTCTTCTAAGAGAAGTTAGGAATCACCCACAGACCGTTTTTTGCCATAGTGACTGGCAGAGTCTCTGTTACGCAGATTAGGTTGGAACTTATACATATGGGGACCCATGGCCCACCGCCAGCTCCCACGGCCTTCTACTCCAGTGGGGATGGCGGCAGCTGCGGCCACAGCAGTGGACGGGCAGGGCTTGCTCTGCAGCAGCTGAATAAGCATGCTCATCTCTGGGCCCAGACGAGCTACCATGCTGGTCCTAACGCGCTCCACGGTGTCCTCATCACAGTCCATCAGGCTCTGGAGGAGCTTTCCATAAAATCTGCAACACAAGAGCACATGGGGTCAGGGCTTAACCCACTCAGTCACCACCCCAAAGAGCAACCCCATACAGCTTGTCTCCAAGGATTTGTCCATATTTGATGCCTGTTTAGACTGTTACCTTTCCTGGGCGTTCCTTTCCAATCCCATTGTATCCACTCCCAGGATGCAATCCTCAAACAATGCAGTGGCAAATCCAAACCTGAGATACCTGTTCAGCTATTCTCTAGGAATTAAAATATGGAAGCCCAAACTCATAAATCAAAATTATTCTAGTCATCTGTTGGTTGTTCCTAACCAACTAAATAAACAGCATATAGTCAAGGTTTTTGTACAACCCTATATTTTTGCATTTTCTATTAAGAGCATTTTTCAATGACTCAAGCATCTTGAGCAGCTATTAACATTCTTGCTCCAGTGGATTAATCCTACCTATTCGGAAAGTGACTTGGCAGCTGGGCCACTTCACCCATAGCGTCAGGGTTGGAGCGGGCCACAGCGCAGATGTCCAGCTTGCTGTAGCACTCCTCCTGGACATCGGAGATCATTCTTTGGAAGGTGGAGCAGCGACGGATCGAGGGGAATGCCTTCGAGGTGATGCCATTGGCAATGCACTTAAGGCTCTCTTTCACAAATGCCTTTCCCTGTGAGACAATGGCAGTGCTTCACATGGTTACCATCAAACAGTGCTCATTAAACATTACAGTATGGAGTAAGCATACCTGAGTGTCAAATTTAGCAGCACTGTACAGAAAGGACTTGCAGATGTCATGCATACCATCTGTGTCACATGTGGAGTTCTCTAAGCAGGCGAAGGCGCCACAGCCGACCTGTAGGGCACTGTTGAGACAGCGCGCCACATCTGCTGTGGGCATAGAGTGAACAGTCAGCACGAGCGAACACTGGAATCACTGCACAGTGTGCACACTACAACACACTGCACCAATGACTTCAGACAAAAACACCATGTACACAAAGACAAAGGCATTCTTCTCCTGTGGCAGTGGCCTATATTCTGCTGAATAATCAGTACCATAAATGTGTGCCACATAAAAGTAGAGTTATACTATTAGACACACAGTGGCACACTGACACTGACCAACTTACTGTATGTTCTTATTGTTAATTAATTCTCATCTTCACATGTTTGATTTGACAAGAACACTACACACATCTCAACATGTGAGGCACAAAGCTATATCCTTTTATGGTGTAACAAATACATGGAGAACTTTGAGTGGTAATGCATTTATTATAATTTGTCAATAATCACCCAACAATCCTGTCTCTGGCATATCTAAGAGGCAACTTGTCTCCTGGTTCTTAAATCTTTCTCAGTTCAGGGCATACAAGATTATTCTAAAAAATAAAATAAGGGAACTGCAAATCCTATGATGATTAAGCAGTTCTTGCAGAAGACAAAGAGCATCTAATGTAGGCCTACCAGCCTCTGCCTTTAAATGAGGTGTAGCTGCACAAAAACATGCACATGCACATATGATATACTTTTTACGCGTTACAAGACGGTTTTGTTGTTATTATTATTGTTATTATTTAGTGTGGCATTATAAGAAAAAGAAACCCAATAGAAACTTCATCTACTTTCAGTTAAATTGAAGATGTGTGGTAGGTAGCCTGTAGCCATACAAAATCACCCGGCTGTCTAAAATGTGCAATACAAAGCCAAATTTTAAGCCGAGCAGTCTGCACCTCAGGTGTCATCTGTTGCCGGCAGGACGCCGGCTAAAGCACAGCGTTCCCCTCGCAGCTGCCCCTGTTCAACAATTCGCACATTTGCATAGAAAAGCGATTTAAACCTAATATGCATGTGTATTTTCTACGGAGTAGGCTACGGATAAGATAAAATGAACAGTTTTAAAGCAAAGCGTTCACTCTCTCTGAGCTCTGCCGACAGATGCCACGGTACTTACAAGGGCTGTTAGCAGAAAAGCGGGCTCTCCTGGGCGAAAAGGACTCGTTCTGATCCAGTTCATAGGCAGATGCAATCAGCACCATCAGGAGAAGAAGTCCGGCTCTCAAAGACATCGTCTTCTTAAGACAGATGACAGAAGTAACCGTGAAGACGTGCCTCTTGCTTCGTGCGTAACACAATAACAGCGCTCCAAAGAGCTTGAAGAAAGCTAGAAGGGGACTAATTTACTGAAGGCAACAAGGACCTCTTTACACTGGACTCGTCACTATCCTTTGACTTGCATGACAGATAGCAGCGATGTCAAGTCTGCCCGGGTTTATATGGAAGCGCTACATGTTACGAGTCCTGCAGCGGACCAATCATAGAGCCGCATTTTAGACCGAGCTCCCCGTCTTTGCACTGACTAATTGATAAATCACTTAAACAGAATGTAGCCTAACTATTTATGGGTGACACTTAACATAAAGTTTTTAATCGTGTATCTATTCCTATTTAAGTCATAATGTGAAAACAACCATGGAGTAGGCCTATCAGCCTACAGAATATTTAACATGTACAGAGGTAGTCACTTATCTTGGCCTACTATCCGCCTCGAAACTCCGTGTGTATGTGTGTGTGTTTAATATAGGCTATAGGGCTGTGGAATTCACTGAGATTTATAACAATTATTTTGTTAAAATATACGCTGTTTCTGAGACATGGCTCATTTATCTAAAAATAGCATATAGATGATTGTTGCATCGGCAGTTGATGCTGTTGACCTATGAAATGGCATCAGTGAAACTATAGCAAACATAATTGAGGAAAGGCAGAAATTAGACAAACCTCTACACAAAAATACACTGAGTTTTACCAATAATAATTGCTTATTTTGCTGTACTGCCAGAGAAAGTATACTATCTTTGGCTGGTCTCTGGCAGTGCTGGTGTGAAGAGTTTTCCCTGAGAGCTGTCAGAAGCTGGGCACAGTGTCATGCTGGCACCTTATCTATCTATGAGGGGATCCAAATGTGGGTCGAAGCCAGCTGCACCAGAGCCACTGTAATGAAAAGATAATATAACTCTAATGAATGAGCTTTTTTATGGTTCAATATTATCTCTGTTCTGTGGGTCCCACCATGAAGGACATATATCATAGTATCATAACATTAAAGTGCCTTTTTGTGAAGAAATGACTCAAATAACATTAATGAGAAATGACAGCAACAGAAGTGTTTATCCTCTGCAGCATGTACTCTTCAGCTCCACAGAATAAACTAACTTGATTAAAAAGTAGATACATTATGTTATCAGGCATAGTTCAAAAAAGGGCACTTTTTCTGACCAGCCTCAAGCCAAGACAAATGAAAGGATTTGAACCAGGAAGGCTATCTGGATTAACAAAACAGTTTCACACACTACGATTATACTAATTATTTGCTGTGGCAATCACACAAAGTCTATTTTAAACTTGTAAAAACACTTGAGTATGCTGCTTTTTGTGATTATTATTATGCATCTTTACTTAAATTGGATAGTCTTAGTCACATTTGGAATCAAATTTTCAGGGGAGCCCTGTCTCCAACCATGTTTTTAGTGGTAGGGGACACTGGAGTACCTGGAGGAAACCTCACAGGCACCCGATATGTAAATTTAATCCAGAACCTTCTCGCAGTGATGTACAAAAGTGCTTTGCTGCCAGGCCCAACTGCATTTGTTTGTTTTCACTTTGGACGCTTCATGCAAAGAAGTCCATTGAGTAAACTTGCCCAAAAGTGAGTTTATTCATGAGTCTGAAAGTCTGGATTGTCTTGTTAGCACATCACAGCGCTCTCTTCTTTTTGGAGTAAAGCCATACCACAAACACATTTGAGAAGACCAGTTGTGTGTCCTTTTGGGGGAAGGATAATGTATTCCTTTGTCAGGTAGAAGAAGTTGGCTCTCTGTGTTTTTTAGAGCTATAACAAACAATACTGGCAAGTCTGAAATGGAGGGCAGAGTTCATGGAGAGGACAAACCTGCTGCGTACCTTACAGGGAACATTTTGCATTCATTTTCATTGAGTTGGACGAACTGATTTCTGAGGAGAAGATTTTGTCTTTTTTGTCTTTCTAAATAGGAGGCCTAAAAGTAGGAGACTGTGGATTGTTGTCAAATGAATAAATGTGTGAAAAGATGCAAACGCAAAGGATGCATTGTCATCAGTGTCATGTGTTGAGTACTGAATTCATTGTTTGTGCCAAAACAAAATGCTGAACCATTTTACTGCGAAGATACTAAAAGAGTCTAGTGGTCTACTATGACATTTTCTCTCGTTGAATGGGTGTTTTTGTCCAGACAGATGGCTGTATGACTTGAACATAACAAACTCAAGGGAAATCCATTCCTGAATGTGTATCCAACATGAGCAGCATTGCAGGCTATACATCTGGAGCTGGAATGAAAACACAGCAGCTCTGCAACATGACGCCCTAAACATTACAGTGCACATGTTTTAACACTCGCCAACCTGCTGTGGGTGAACATGGGACAGACAGCAGCTTATTTAGGACTTAGACTCTAAACTGTGGAAATAAACCTGGACATGACCACTCTAGCCACATGATCCACCAACAACGCCAGACTGACTTGTTGACTTGTTATTGTATTCTATACAAAGGTCATCAGGTATTAGTTCACTGGAGTTTGATTTCCTTTGGAGCACTGGCCAGCCATTTAATTTACAATCACAAAAACGACATGTCCGGCTGAAGCAGCTTTATGGATGGTAAAAAAAAAGGGGTTTGATATTGCTATTAAACGTTTCGTGGATTGTGGTTGGGGTCAAAGGAAATGGGAGTTTGGTTAAAAATTTTAGAAAGTTTTAGGGAATTAGTAACACTAAATTGTTTCATTGGAGTTAAAGTTTGAATTGAAACTTGCTGAAGCTCTCGTCTCTGGTCTCTCATCTAGTGGTTACTGCTATCTGCTCTATTTACCATAAACTAATTATACTACTTGCTTAAGTTTAGACCTGGACTTATATTACCAGGTTTGTAGGTGTCTTAAAATAATAAATAATGCCATGTGCTCTCGTAATGGATAGTATTGTTAAGGTGGATAATTTTGGAGTAATTCACAGATGTCTATTGGCTCACTTTTTTGTTTGTCTTTGTATCTTTTTGTCTTCCAGAGGAAAAGGGTAGATGACATACTTTATTATATAAAACAGAATGGTTGATCATATACAGCAAATAACATCCAAAACAGACAGTGCTGCTCCCACGCTTCACTTTCTTGCCTACCAGTCGCCATGCACCTGCCAGGAATGCAGGAAGAACACAGCTATTGCTAGTATGCTAGAGGAGGAGTTTTGAGAAGCAGGTCAAAAGATATAAAATAGGATTTTGAGCACCAAAATGTAAAAAAAAAATAATAATAATAATAAAAAATCACTCCCAATTCAGAAAAAATTTTGCTACCAGCATGACCAGCTCTGAATGCATTTTATTTGACCAGGCTAAAACAGACTGAGATTGGCAATGTACTATTTTCTAAAATAATAAAATTATTAAAAATGAGAGAATAACTATTGTAGTTTACAAACATGAATGTCTCTCATTAGTGTCTCAGGAGCAGATGTATGTTATTTCTGTCCATTAGCTGTTTGATGTATTAGAATGAGAGCCATCAGTTGTAACACTATCTGAAAATGCACTTTGCAAGACATTGAATCCAACCTGTTTCTCTGTAATATGAAGGACTCGGTGTCATGAGAACTAAACCAATTTTAGGAACTGACTACAGCTTTACTTAGGAGCATGTTTTCAGTAGTATTACAGGAGTTGTTCTTTAGTAGTACACACATGATGTAGTAAACCAATGTTAGTAATGTAGTAGCAGTACCACGTGCAGTGGTAGGAGGAGTATGCAATAGTATTACCTTGGTTGTGTTTCCTGTGCTGGACCATCTGTTTTCAGTTCAGACCCATCTGGATCTGTCTCAGGCCCAGGCATCTCAGGAATACATTTTGGAGGGGTGCCCACATCCGTTCACACAGACAAATGTTTTCAATTATTCAATTTTCAATATTTCTGACACTCAACTGATTGAGCTTTTTTGACTGCAGTATTGGTTAACACTATGAACACATTGGTTATTGCTAAATTGTATATACTAGTGTGCACAGGCATTGCACAGTCAGTGATTGTAGGTTTCAGCTCTATACAAGGTACAATAGCTGTAGGTCTATGCAGCCTATTTAGACCTTTCATGTGTTATATTCAATAATATGAGCTTGTAGAGTATTTTATTTACCATCTGTATTTACCAACAGAGTTCTATAGTTCTATTTTATTTAAAATGTAATTTTCAATGGATAAAACAGTGAGTTAATATAACAGAAACATGGCCACTGTTCACCATATCTTCACACATCCCCAATGATTCATTCTACTGTGTCAGAGTGCCACTTATATTTGTGTGTATTTGAAATAGTTACTAACAGCATATTTTAATGACTTCTATGACAAAGCCAGGAAGCCCATAGGCACTTACTGCTACAGCTAGTGCATGATAAGGTCTACAATGTAGCACTCACTTCATTGTGCAGCCGGTGGCAGTTAATCCAAAGAAAATACTACCCCTTTTTCAATTTGCATGTTAATACTGTTTCTGATTTAATCTCATGAGCTGCACAGTGGTAGCCCTCGTAAAAGTTCCCCCCATCAAGCATGTCACCAATGCTCACGTCAAAAGGCAAATTAACACAGCAGCACGCCTCTGCATGCTTTTTTGTCAAATAATTTAAGCCATGTTTTAACCTACTTTCATACCACAATATTAGACCCACGTTGTTACAACCAAATGAAAAGTGTTTCATTTCATTCCACTTGATCATCGGGCCCTCAGTTATCACATTGTGGACTTCTTTGTATTCATTTTACTCATATGATGAAACTATCATAAGATATACTTTTGCAAGTTGTCACTGAATCTAATTTGTTTGACTCAGTCAATGAGATCTGTGTACAGTTTCAACTAAAAGATTTCAAACAGTAAACTAACCAAAGAACTGCTCTTAATCATACAGAGAAAGTAAAAGGATTTGTAGTTACCCCTAATTCAACACAGCTTGTCCAGGCATCTTCAGTGGTAGATGGGAGAGATGCCCAGGAGTGGAAAATTGGGAGTAAACTCAGTTAATGAAAACACG